TCTTTTCCTCTCGTCCCGCATATGTGACACATCACGCCGCATTCTCCTTCTCTCTCTCTCTCTTGCACTCTGTATCATCACCTCCTCTTCTCGACGGGGGGGAAACAAAAAAAAACGAAGCATTAGTCAAAATTGTAGCAATCCAGAATGACACGTTCCTCAAACCCCCAAAACGAAAAAAAAAACCCACCCCATGCCCTCTCCTCCCCCCCCCTCCCCCCAAAAACTGTCATCATCCTCATCGCAAACCGGGGGAACGAAATGCTACCCTACGCACCAAAGAAGGACCAGCTACCAATTCGGAACTGCTCCTCCGCTTGAAAAAAAAAAAGTATCCCGCTCACCCTCCTAACACCTACTGTACTGAAGAAGAAAGGAGGGGAGAAAGAAGAGTAAGGTAGGTAGTAAGAGGGTAACGGAACGCCTCATCCCGTTCCCGCCCGCCCGTTCGTGTCAAGTCTGTCGCTTGTGTGTTCCCTTCCCCCCCCCCTGGCAGTAGAATATTCCCGTCATACATGCCACCACCTCCTTCCAGCTATGGTAGTCGTATTAGTAGGTCGTATTATTATCAGCAGTGGCAGCGGCCAAAAAAAAGGTGGTCTGTATCAGCATCAAGCATCATGTGTAATATCCAAGCGAGCCAGAACTCCTAGACCATCACCGTCTACATCTGAATCAAGCAACTCTTGAAAAAAAAACTCCGCAAACCCCCTTCTTCATACAAGGCACAGAAATCAAAGCAATCTAGTAATACCTTAAAAAACGCCAAACTTGGTCCGTCAAGAAAAGCGTAACAAAGTAAGACGCCACTTCCCCCTTCCTCCCCCCTCCCCAAGAAGAACCTGACATCTCACAAAAACTTCCCCGACATTCACGTTACCCTATTCAAAACCCCCCCTCTTCATCCACACAACAGTCCTCCGCAAGGCCCTTCTCCGCGCAATTCTTCTTCTTTGTGATAATCCTCATCTTTATTTGCTAAATGAGTGCGTGTGAGCTGCTTAGTAAGATTTTCTAATGAACATCTCGTGATGCCCGATGCCCTGATGCGGTACATGTAACTAGCCCACTTACACTGACCGAGCCGTGATATGCCTGCACGCCTATAACCAGTGATGTTCTTTTATCCCCCCCCTCCGCCATCAGAATGGTCAAGAATTGACAACCAGAGAACATGAACAAGGCAAAATCACGAATCAAACATGGGAAATAATAGGTCCTGACACTGGGGGGGCGTGCGGCCAAATGCTCCAATACGCACTGGCGAAGACGACAAACGCCAGAAGCCATAAATGCCCAACCCCGGCGCTTCATATCTTTGCAGCATCACGCGACTCATCAGTTTTCTGCTCAGGCTGGGCCTTTCTTCCCATTTGTCCATGTCATAAATCTCCGACTCCTCTTGACTGCTCAGAATTCTGGTCTTCCCCTCACACCCCGCAGACGCCGAAACCCCTTCCCACATGTACTCTATCATCATCCCTTCTTATAGGCAGAAACTACACAGTACTCAAGCACAAACAATGGTATTCTTTTTTTTTTTGTTCCCTTTTATTTTCCCGGCCTGCCTTTAGCCACGTGTACATGCGCAAGAGGTAAAAGACCATGCACATCTCGCTCTGATGACATCTCTCTTCCCTGGCCCCCACGCTTGCTCGCATTCCGGCCCAACGACAGCACTTAGATTTTGTTGACCAGTCTTCTCTCCTCTTTCAAGGCCAGCAGCTTCTCAAGCGCCTCGTCCACGGGAATCAGCGCTCCCTTGGCCTGTGTGCTCTGGTCATCTCGGTTTCGAATGTTGACGGTGCGTGAGCTGGCCTCTTCGGCTCCGACGACTAAACAAGACAGTCCACGTTAGCAGCGGCTTCAAATGTGACGAGGCTTTGTGAGTGAGTGCTTACCGAAGATGAAGTTGTACTGCTCCAGCTGCCCAGTCCGAATCTTCTTCTGGAATGTGTTGCTGCTCAGATCAACGTCAATGTAGAGACCCTTCGCCTGGAACATCTTCTGGAGCTCCTTGGCGTAGTCGTTAACGGCGGGCATCACCGGAACCACCAGGATCTGGCGAGGGCTCAGCCAGAACGGCCACTTGCCGGCGAAGTGCTCCGTAAGAATGCCAAACATTCGCTCGAAGCTGCCCATCACGGCTCGGTGAATCATGACCGGTCGGGCATAGCCCACAGGCAAATCGGGGTCGCTTGCGTCCCGGTTGGCGCTGCTCTCGTCCTTGGCGGCAAGGTAACGCAGCTTGAACCGTTGAGGCAGGTTGAAGTCGAGCTGGATGGTGCCGCACTGGTGCTCTCGTCGCAGGGCATCGTAGACGGTGATGTCGATCTTGGGGCCGTAGAAGGCACCATCGCCGGGATTCTCCTCCCACTTGGAGTCAATCTTCTGTGTGAAGTTGTCCAGCGCCTCCTTGAGCTTGTTCTCGGCCATATCCCAGATGGCCACCTCGCCGATGAACTTCTCGGGCCGGGTCGACAGCTTGAGCTTGAAGGCGAAGCCAAACAGACCGTAGACGCTGTACAGGAAGTCAAAGGCACCCTCAATCTCGTCACGAATCTATCATCGGTTAGCAAATCGTTGTTTTTGTGTCAGAGATCATGCCTCCAGAGCATACCTGGTCGACTGTGCAGAAAATGTGAGCGTCGTCCTGCTGGAATCGACGCACACGGGTGAGACCACTGAGGGCACCCGAGAACTCGTTTCGGTGAAGGACACCAAAGTCAGCCATCCTCCATGGCAGATCCTTATAGTTGACATCTGAGTGGGCAAAGATTCTGCAGTGGCCAGGGCAGTTCATCGGCTTCAGGCCATATGTCTCCTTCTCAACCTCAAAGGTGAACATGTTCTCGGAGTAGTGTCCCCAGTGGCCTGATGTCTTCCACAGATCGGACTTGTAAACGTTGGGGCTAATGACTTCGTCGAAAGCCCTCTTCTTGTACTCGCTGCGGATCAGCTCCATCATGGCGTTGTAAATCCTGGTGCCGTGAGGCAAGAAGAAGGTAGAGCCGGGGGAGACCTCGTCGAAGAAGAACAGCTTCTGTTCCAGACCAATCTTTCGGTGGTTACGCTTGGCGGCTTCCTCAAGGAAGGTCTTGTACTCCTCGAGTTGCTTCTTGTCGGGGAATGAGACACCGGAGATTCGCTGGACAGACTCGTTGGAGCTGTTTCCAAGCCAGTAGGCGGCCGAGTTCTACCAGTTGAATGTCAGTCAATCGATGAACCACACTGCCAACTGACTGGCGACAGACGACGTCTTACCTTCTGGACGGAAAATGCCTTGATGTTTCCGGTGTGGGGGACGTGAGGACCTCTGCAAAGATCGATGAGAGGGCCGCATCGGTAGACGGTGCTGGTGGTGCCGTCAGGAACACGCTGGTTGATGAAGTACTCCTTGTATTTGCTGTATTTGAACATCTCGAGGAGCTCCTCCTTGGTCATCTCCAGACGCTCAAAGGGCTGCTTCTCCTTGATGATGGAGCTGGCGATCGACTCCAGCGCCTTCTTGTCCTCCTCCTGAACGACTTTGCTAGAGAAAACGGTCAGCAGACTGCGCAAAACCAAACGGCGCAAGACATTTCCTTACCCCTCCATGTTGGCCATATCGTAGTAGAATCCGGGAGGGTCGGTGGTAGGGGGTCCGTTGCAGAGGTAGCAGCCAAACCGCTTCTCACAGGCTTCACCGAGGACGTGAGCGGAAGAGTGCCAGAAGACCTTCTTGCCTGTACACCAGTCAGCCCCAAATCCAGCCTTTTCTTCAGATCTGCCCCTTGACAGAGTACGTATTCCTTGTGTCACATACCCTCCTCGTTCTCGAAGTCGAGAAACTCCAGCGTGCAGCTCTTCTCGAGAGGTCGGGTAAGATCCCAAAGCTCGCCATCGACCCGAGAGATGACGGTGCGCTCGAACAGCGACTTGGAGATATTTCGAGCAATGGCGCCAGGAGTGGTCTCCCAAGCGATTCCCTTCTCCTCCTTGCCATTGGGCAGGGAAATGGTGATTTCCTCACGAGGCTTGGCTGTAAAACAAGTAATCGTCAGCAAACCAGCGGTTGCAAACGTTGTCTAGGGCGCAAAACGAACCAGCTATCTCGGCGTCTCGCTTGGCCTTGATCTTGTCGTAGATTTCGATACGGTGCTGGATGAACTCGGGGAGAACCGGCAGCTACAAGCAGTCACAAACACCTGAATTAGCAAATGCTCCACCCAGAATGCCCCTCGCAAGGAACGGAATCATGTCTCGGTAACAAACCTCAAGTGAAGCCTTTCCTCCACCCGCCTTCTTCTCCTTGGGCTGCTTCGCGGGCCGCGAAGGCAGACTCTGGGCAGGAGCGCCCTCCGCCGCCTTCGGGGCGTCGACGTTCTCGGAAGACATGGCGATGAGAGTCTCTCGTCTTCGTTCTGCTGGGGGGAAAAGAACAAGGAGAACGAGGTTCTTGGAAGAAAGAAATGGCTGGCTCTGTCTCGGAGACTGAACTGATCTTTCGATGGAGGGGCAGGAAATACTTTGGTCCCTTTATCTCTTAGGCGCGAGGTGGGGTTGAGTCACAGTTTATCGCAGCAGCGCGGCAGATCTTCGGAATGCGCGAGGTGGTATCAGCGGATCGAACTTCAAGTGAGTAAAACGGCAGGTCGCAAGATGGCAGGCTGTAGTATGGAAGAATGAACCAGAATGGGGATCCTTAGGGACTTTATACTCAGGCTGCTACTGTTTGTTTGTCTATTGACCTGTCCAGTGCGGAAACAGAGGGTAAGTTTAAGCCTCCTTGTGTGGCTTGTTGACTCACGCTGAAGCTTGAGACGTGCTATACTTTGTTTGTTAATGGCCAGTAGAGTAAACTCCAAGTTTTTCGATTCACCTCTGGGTTTGCTTTTACTCTTTCGAGAGCCTTTTCTACTTGAAATCCAATTGATGTTCCAATCGCTGGATACGGCCCTACCAAGCCACCGGGCAACGTATTGTACGCCATCAAACTCAAGCTCCAAGCTTGAGTCATCCTATATCCGGGCCTGACACAACTTGGCCGTATATCGGAGCCGTTGCAATGCCGTCAGGACCAGTTCGTAAACAATTTCATCTGAATATCTCGTTTAAAGAGATTGGGTATCAAATCCGCTTCCCATCCCAAACAAGTCCGCCCAAACTCCGCGAAATGCAATGTCAAAATCAACCCATCAAGCCATCCTTCACACGTTCCTCGTCAGGATCAAGATCCTTTCCGCCAACGTGCAGTGCCATGCAGTGACTCACAGCCCGTACCGAGTAACGCACTCCTCCCTATGCGTCTCCATGCAGTCCAGCGCGCAGACTCTCGTCCCGCACTTCATGCACCGCACACGTCCCCAGTACCCGCACACCTCGCAGAACGTCCGCGTCGGGTAGTTGTCCTCCCACTTGCCCCTGGCCTCGTAGTATGTAAGCGGCGGGTGAGCGAGCAGCTTCCTCAGCTCTTCGTCCGACGGCACCGGCGGCACGCGGGACACCAGCAGCGGGTCGTTGTCGCCGGGATGAGCAGCCGGCGGCGGCCTGTATGAGCCCACCAAGATGGGAGGCAGGTCCGCATCCGTCATCGCCGTATCCTCGTCTTTCGTCGTCGTGGTCGTGGGAGTAGCTGAAGCGGCGTCTCGTTTGCCAGCGGCTGGTCGTTTCGAGTTGGAGGAGTTGGTCGGCCGGTTGTTGCTCGCCGCTGTTGGACCGCCCTCGGCCTGCGCCTGCATCGCCAGGAAGTCGTCCAGGTGATTGGAAAATGTCTTTTGCGACTGTAATATCTTTCGCACGTTCGGCGTGTGTTTTCCTGCAGCTGCACAGTGAAAACCCCCCTTGGTCAGCATTTCTCAACTCTCTACCGCTGCAGCACGAAGCTGACCGCGTTTACACACACACACACGCACACACCTTTACCACTCTTCGCCGGGATAGGAATCAAACTGTCCTTCCCGCCATCCCTCTCCAGCGCCTCAATCTCCTTCCGAATCTTGGCCTCCTGGCGCGCCGTCAAATCGCCCGCCGTCACGCCCGCCGGCGCATTGCGAGCGCGCTTCCGGTTCGCCGGCTGCAGGGCGTTTGCTCCGGGCAGCGCGCCCGTGTCAGGGACGTAGGCCCATCCGGGAGCCGAGGTCGTCTTTGCGCTCGCAATCTCAATGACCCCGAAGTTGTTCATGGTGTCGAGAGGGCGTCTCCCCGTGGGCGTCTCGGCTGGGGCTGAAATCGATGGAAGAAGTGGAAAGAAGCGATTGATGCTTACAGCGCATTACAATCGAATCCGCTAAGGAAGCATCCCCCGTTGATCCCGAAGAGATCTACTGTTCCGAATTGAATTGAATTAATAATGGATCCAAAGAGGAAAAAGGTGTACGAACCCGCTTCGCGATGCAAGCTCACAGGACGCACGTCAGTTCCACCAAAGTGACCCGTGGGGCAGAATCGCTCCAGTGGCGACAGCTCTTCTTCCAGCTGCCGCGCTCGGGCTATCCAGCGCCGGAACAACCCGTAATCCGCCGCCAAGCTGGGGCAGCAACCTTGTATCCGTCGTGATACCTTCAGAGCTCCCGGCCTACTACGTACTTGACATCACAAGACACCCCGGATTTCCCACTCCAGCAACCTCTGCATATAACTCTTGTAAGCTCCCAACCTCCAATTCACCAAAAACGTACCGCGGCCGGATTCCAGAACTTCAAGCTCATACTAAATATCGTGCTTCCAGTTTGTCCCTCTTCCGCCAACCTCCGCATTCTGCTCTCGCCACAGAGCAACCACAAAAACCTCCGCAATGCTCTCGCCCGCTTCCTCAAGAATACTCGCCAGCGGCACCCGCCGTGCGCTGCTCTCGTCCCGTGGCTTCCACGCCTCGGCTCGGCGCATGGCCGACTCTGCGCCCCTGCCGGCGCGCAAGCCCATGGGCGCCTTCAGAGGAGGGTATGTTCTAACTCACAATATGCACGACGCAATTGAGCGCGCGAATTCAGCCTCGGCTACGATTGCGTACTAAGAAATTCAGCTACTAACCTCGGTATTCCCAGTCTTTTTGGCTTCTTGTTTGGAAGCGTCCTGGCCGGCGGCGCCGTCTACAGCTACGTCTTGCAAGAGTACAGGACATCCAACGAACTGCTCACTGAGGACATTTACGTACGTTCTTCCCCTGCATAGTCGTGTCCATATGATCTTGAATTCCCGAGCGACTGCCTGGCACTCATCCTGCTTCTTCTCCATCCGTCTCATACGATATCCGAGCGCAACGTGAAAGAAGGGGCATTGCTAATACCACCATTGACCAGGCTCTCCAAGCTTCCGTCACCCGGCTGACAAACCACATCAAGACGCTCGAGGAGAAGATCCAGCAGAAGAGGAAGTAAAGTTCCTGGCTGGAAGGAAAGGAAAGAAAAAGTAAAACTACGAATAGCGCTCGTCGTTTGGGAGGACGTATTTCCAGCGATTTCTCGCAGGGGGGGAATTCTGGGCGAAAATGAACTACTAGCATTACGCAACACTTGTGTTGTTTTCTTTTGTAACAAAACAAATCCTGTAAATCTGTACCTTGGGTTTAACTTAGCCTCCAAATTATCTTTTCACACGAAGCGGTCGAAAGGAATCATCGTAGAGCTTTGTCAAGGTACTAGGTGTACTATCATCTTGCCACTGCACGAATACATTCGCAAGCACTCTTGGGACGCAGAATCGTAAGAAAACTTGGTGATCAAATTCAGGTGCTTTCATCAGAGCAATGCTTCATATGGGCGTTGCGCCAGTATGCAATTGCTAGTACTTATTTAAAGAATCCATAAACCAGCGCCGACGATTTGTTTTTTCTCGTCAAGAAGCAATACCCACAATTATACAGTGTTTTGTTTTATTTCATTTCCCATTTCCTAGAGCTCTTTACAGCTCGTCGTGAGTCTCCTCGGAAGCCTTGGCATCCTCAGCCTTGGTCTCGGAAGCCTCAGCCTCCTCGGTGGGCTCGGCGGGGATCTCGACGCCGGCCTTGTACTTGCCGTTCTCCTTGATGAACTCAATGAAGTCCTCAACAGTGCGGGCACCGCTGTAGGTGACAGGGTTCTTCTTGTCACCGGCGGGGTAGAGCTTGATGGTGGGGAAGCCCTGGATCTCGTCGGGAACATCGTTGGCGGTGGCGTCAACCTTGGCGATGACAACCTTGTCCTTGAAGTCGCTCTTGGCATACAGGCTGGCGAGCTCATCGTACTTGGGGGCGAGAGCCTTGCAGTGACCGCACCAGGGAGCGTAGAACTCGATCAGGACATCCTTCTTGTCGTCAAGGACAACGTCCTTGTAAGTGTGGGCAACGACAACGGTGACGGGGCCCTCCTGGGTCTCGGGGATGGGCTCGGACTTGATGCTGGGCTCAAGCTTGCCAGAGGAGAAGCCGTCAACAAAGGCAGCAATGTCCTTCTCGGTAATCTCCTTGCTCTGGTCAAAGGGAAACTTGAGGTTCTTCTCAATGTCGTGAATGGCAAAGGCGGGGAACTTGTCGGTCTTGAGGTTGATGTTGCCGGCGTGGGAGCCGAAGTTCTTGGCGTCAATGGTGGCGAAGTTGATCTTGCCCTTGTACTTCTCGGCGATGGGCTTCAGGGTCTTGCTGAGGTCCTCACGCTCCTCGGCGGTCTCGGCGAAGATGTAAGCCAGAGGGATGCCGGCGGACATGTAACCGGCGTAGGTCTCAGGGCCGACCTCGCCAACGAGGGGAGTGGCGGCAACCTGAGCGAAGGACTTGATGGCATCGGCATCGAACTTCTCGCTGAAGACGTTCTTGCCCTCGTCGAAAGACTTGTAGAGGACAATGGAAGGGAACTTGACGCCCTCGGCCTCGGCAACGGCAGCATCGTTGACGCCACCGAAGAGGTAGGTGTCACGCAGCTCGTTGGCCAGAGCGGTGAAGGTCTCGTTGGAGGCCTTGTCGTCGGCAGCGATGTAGGCGACCAGGACGACCTTGTCGGCGGTCTTGAAGTCCTCAAGGGTGTCCTTGGTCAGGGCGGAGACGGCGGGCAGGGACTGCTTCACCATGTAGGAGGTGATGCTAGAAGGAACAGCAAACGTTAGCCATCAGATCGACCACAAAACAAGAGCAATTCAAAGCTTACCCGTCAGCCTTGCGGGGACCAGTGTAGGGAGCGACCTTATCGAGGCCACGGAAGACCTTGAGCGTGGGGTAGCCCTCAACTCCATGCTCCTTGCAGAGGTCAGCCTCCTCGACACAGTCGACCTTGGCGAGCTTGATGCTCTTGTCCTTGAGGGTCGTGGCGGCCTCCTCGTACTCGGGGGCGAGAGCCTTGCAGTGGCCGCACCAGGGAGCGAAGACTGGAAGATTGCAGCTGTTAGCGGGGTTCCTGATGCCAGGGCTGGCGGGGGAGGGGTCGAGAGATGGACAGAAACAGCCGTGCTTGAGCAGGCAGGAAGACGGAGGAGGAGGGAAGAAAAGACATACACTCAGCCAGGACGAGGTCATTGGAGCCGATGAAGTCGTTGAAAGTCTCCTTGGTCAAGGACGTGACATCGGACTCGGCAGAGACCACAGCGGCCAGAGCGGCCACCAGGGCAGCAGTAAGACGCTTCTGTTGCATGGCGACGGTTGTGATGGGGGTATCAAGCGGGTATCACAGAACCTGGGGGGAGGGAGATGGAGAAAAAAGAAACAGAGAAAAGAAGAAGAAAAAAGTGGTGATGCAGAAGTGCAAAATGCAGTTGTACGAAAGACGGCTGGACGGGCGAGGTTTTGTACTGCAGTGGCCACTCTGATGACTTAGACGCGCTCACCTCAATTGAACAAGTGTCCCTTTGGCCACATGTTGCTTCAGCCGGCGGGGGTCCAGTCCCTGAACCACACCCTGCGCGGGCAGCCTAAAACTGGGGGGCCCCTCTCTGTAGCTGCTAAAGTCACCCGCTAAAGGAAGGCCGTTCCAGCACCGTTGACATCCAATGCTCAATTGCTGCATGGATTTGGAGACACTGGATATTTTGCCTTTTCCCTCTGTACTCGTTGCCACCTGACAAATCGAGTTGCTTCGAGCTTATTCGGGGGCTTGAAGTTGTCATTTTGTGCTCCGTTCCTGGCTCGATACCGTGATTACTATTCCAATATTCAATATTCTCCCTTTGTACACCGTGTTGATTGTTCTCCCTGGGACAAGATGGGCAGCTGCTGATCCAGACAACTGGCCACCTCGCCTCATGCTGCTTGTTTGCCGGTACATGATGCGCCTCTGCTTCTCCACCACCACGGCAGCCGCGTGCATGTAACTCCATAACAGCTGCCCCTCCGGGTGCGGTGGCTGCAGCTCAAGAGGCACGCCAAGCGGTGCATCGAGCGCTAGAGCCCCTGCACGATAGCCTCGCAGCCTTCACAGCCACCAATAGCGGCCAGCACAGGCCGCAAGGAGCTTTGAGACAAAGAGGCAGAATATCAGCAGGGCGGCTGGAGGGACCTGGGAGAAGTGAGGGAACGAGCCTGTCATACGAAGTACTGCTATTCGTGCTTTTACTCGATGGCTGGGCGGGCTTACGGAGTATTAGAGCAGCCCTTGGACTTCCGGCCGGCTCTGAGATATTCAGGGTTTTCCGGATGGCTGGTCCTGCTGGTATCTTTGCGGCTCTGTGGTTTGTGTCTGCCACCAGGCGAGGATGGATAATAGAGGTCGTACTCATTCATTTGAAGAAGCTCATAGAATACAAGACGAGAGGATTTGGAGACAGCAATACATTCAGTAGCTACACATCAGACGGAAGAATTATACTGGTAAGACGAACACTTCAAGGATCAACCACTGTCTACCAGCCCCACCTCGATCTCGAACGACGACTGGAATCAAATGTCACTTGTACTCAGTATCAAAGGGAGATGGTGACAACGACGATAGTAGTACCACGACAGTGATACCTACCTGTCCCTACCTTATTTCTATCCATTACACGAAACAGATACTATGTTGTGGCTATATTGGATATATCACTTCAGCAAGTGGATTCCCGTCACACAAACAACCGAGTCTATGTACCCAGTAGACATTTATCCAACAGTGCCTCCCTCTTTTGTCCATGGATTCGCTCTGGGGTCCCGGGGGTTAAATGCACTGCGCCGTAACATTCATTGAACCCTCCATGCAGATGCACCTTAACCGGTTTCCGATGCACGGTCATGGTAATCTGTCCAGATCTTTGCGGCAACTTGCTGTCGATTCAGGACACGAGACGTCTAGGTACGGACTACCCAAACACCTCGCTACCATATACAAGATGACGATTGATCTCACAGACAAGGACATTGCAAACATATCGTACTGGGTATGTATTTCGTAGTGATGATGATGACGATTGGCGGCAATTCGTATAAAGGAGACATGGTTCTCTTAGTGCTGATGCAGGCTCGCAATCGAATGACCAGATAAAAGGTAGAACAAGTAAGCTTCGTCGTTTATCTACCTATGTAGTGCAATATAACGCTCAAGGTTCATGTCTAAATGTTGTAGAGTTTCATCCCAGTTTCCGCCCTTTGTTCACCCTCCCTTTCCCCAATTCTCCCCCCTTCGTCATCCCTTCCCATCACCAGCTCAAAACTTCTTGCTAAAGTCCGTCCGCGGCCCAGCCCTCGAATACTGGTTCGGCCACTTGGTGGTCACCTTGAGCTCGTGCGCAACCCTCAGCACCCACTCGGGCTCCCTCAAGAACTGCCTCGCCACCAGCGCCAGCTCGGCCGCCGCCTCGGGCCCCTCCTGGACGACGTCGTGCGCCGTCTGCGCGTCCGAGATGTTGCCCACGGCGGCGACGATCAGGTCGATGCCGTCCGCGCGGAGGGCCTTGCGGATGGTGCGCGCGTACTCGATCTGGAAGTGCGGGTTCTCGGGGAAGCGCTGCTCGTAGCTGTTGCCGCTGCTGCTGACGTCGAGGATGTCGATGCCCCACGAGGGCACCAGCTTGGCCAGCCGGATGGTGTCGTCGACGGTCCACGACGGCTCGCCGCTCCATTCCATCAGCTCGGTGGCGGAGACGCGCAGCGCGAGCGGCATCGTCTCGGGGACCACGGCGCGGACGGCCTGGACCACCTCCTGGACGAAGCGGATGCGGTTCTCAAAGCTTCCGCCGTACTCGTCGGTTCGTTTCTAAGGACATGTGTTAGTCGACACGTGCTGGAGTGCGGGTTATTTCTCGTCGCCGGGGAGATCACTCACGTTGCTTCGGGGCGACAAAAAGTTGCTGATCAGGTAGCCGTGGGCACCGTGGATCTCAATCATGTCAAATCCAGCCTTGACAGCCCGCTCCGCCGTCTCAGCAAACTTGCGCACAAGGCCCTTGATCTCCTCCTTGGTCAACTCCTTGGGCGTAGCATGGTCGTCATAGAAGGGAATGGGGCTCGGCGCAACCACATCCTCGGGCCACCCGCCCACGCTCTCATCAGCCAGCGTCTTGGTGACGGTTCCGCCGATCCAAGGCGCCAGGGTGCTCGCCTTGCGGCCGGCATGCGCGATTTGGATGCCCGCCTTGACGCCCTGGCTGTGGATGAAGTCGGTGATGCGGCGCAGGGGCGCAATCTGCGAGTCCTTCCACAGGCCGGAGTCTTGGGGCGAGATGCGGCCGCGCGGCTCCACGGCCGTGGCCTCGACGATGGTGAGCCCCGCGCCGTGGAGCGCCAGCTGGCCCAGGTGCACCAGGTGGTAGTCCGTCAGATGGCCGTCGTCGGCGCTGTACTGGCACATGGGGGACACGACGAAGCGGTTGTGCAGCTCGAGGGAGCGGATCTTGAGCGGCTTGAAGAGCGTCGGCGCCGCGTCCTTGTCCAGCGGGGTGGCGGCCGGAGGGACCTGCGCCGGGGTGTAGAAGGGCACGCCGGGAGCGGCCGTGTTCTCGTAACTGTTGCTGACGCTGCCCATCTTGAGGTCGTTGTGCTTCTTAGGATGGTTCGATGTGTCGAGGGGGGGACGTGTCCTTGAAAGCCTCGTTTCTGAGAGGACAGGTGCGTAAAGTATCTATTGGATGTGTCTCGCAGTAGGTACCAAGGCACTAAGGTAAGGCAAGAGGATATCGATGGATCGTATCTGCAAGGTATTATATGGGCGAGTGCTAAATCACTTCCAGAAGCTACTGCGGGTTGCGTGTAAGTCAAAAGGGGGGGTCGATAACAGAAGAGGAGCCTTGATGGAGTGGTCCAATGTGGTGGTGATTCATCATGACAAGATACCATCTCGCCATGGACCCTTTATATAAGAAAAACATTCGACCCTATACACGCAGATGTAACGACGACGGCATCCCACAATCTTGCTCGGGGTATCGGACCAATCCTCGTCCCCCCAATCACCGAGTGAAAGATTCTCCGTCCTTCCATCATGCCAGAATGGTACCAAAACCAAGTGCCATGGTCGACAGCTCGGCGTCGGCATGCCGTAGCAACAGGGCAAACGCCGAACAAAATCTCCATCAGTTCCAATGTGCTACCTGAAACCACTGGCTGTGAGTGGTCAGTTCATCTGTTCTAGATGGAATCTACCCATAGCAACTCCAGTTCTCTCAGGAGGGGTTGCTGAATAATTCAATTTTGCTTGCAAAGAAAGCGGCCATAGTTGCCCTTGACCCTTACTCAGGCACCCTGTTTCCAGCGGCGGGCGGCGATAACCCGGGTTTGAATGTCTTCCCTTTGGGGTCCAGCGAATCTCCACGTCCCAAGTCTCGCTTGAATCGCGTTCCAGATGGGATAATCGACGTTTCTTTCTTTGGTCTTTTTTTCCTTTTCTGTTCTTGTTGATCTCTTATCTTGGTCGATCTGTACAGTAATGATAGCCACCCTTTGCAAATTCCGATCTGTACTCGTACCTGATGCTTCTCTAGCCTTCTACGCCTTGATCCCCACTCCCCCATCTAAGGTATGGCATTACCAATGCAAGCAATCTCTTCGGTTTTGCATTTTGCTCTCGCCTCTCTATATCCGACAGATTAAAACCTGAGTGCCTCTTTTCGTTCTCGCCCTCCAGAGGAAAAAGATCCGTCGCTCGAGCGCTAATTCAGAAGAAATGCTCCAAGGCACGGAACAATTCTAGTAAGCAAAAAGAATCGTCATCCCACTCGGGACGGTAAACCTTATCTGATTTAAAATAGAAGCCCAGAGGCAAGGCCAATTCATAAGCACTCTGTCTTTGTAAAGGGGCTATCGACTGGGCGCCCGTCCCATTGATTTTGACCAGAAGCAAAAAGTATTCGGACATTGGGAGCAGTCTAGAGCAATGCTCCCAAGTTCTGTCGCACCTATTGAGGTCCCTGTAGCTTTGTGTCTTTTTCTTTCAAATAATGCATGTTCTCACCAACTGCTTGATGAGATGATGCGTGCCTTGGAGAGAATTGCGTGCTCATCGTGGATTTGAGCCAGATGTCTCCTCTGGCTAAGGTACTTGTATCGTTAACACTCCAACTGTCTGCTTCGTGCTTCGCCCAGCTTTAGGTGCTTGTGAGTTCTATGTCGAAAGCGTCACTAGTAACGCCTAGCAATCAGTACAGCTTCCGATTCTGATTGCGTACTTCGTCCCAATCGCTGCAGACGCAACGAAGCACGATAACCAGATTTCTAAAATCCTTCAGTCTTGGACACCGGAGACGCATCAGAGGCCAAACATCACCTATCCCGAATACGGAGCCCTGAGGATGCCCATACAAACGACGTATCCGAAGCAATTCAACAATCTATCAGACAAGATCTTTAATAAGTAACAATATGATATATGTATTCGCGAGGCATTGGATAAATCTTGACTCCTTCTCCCAGGCTGATCTTCGGCTTAGACCCAAGTCTATTAAGCTCCTCTCCAGAACCAGAGGAAAAGTGCGGGGAACCATGTACTCCATACTGTCATGGCAGCACCAAGAGCCGGCCATCAGCCAATAGCAACCGGCGGAAAGGAACAAACGATGGGCTTCAGTATTGCAGCGGATGGCCGGCTAGCATAGAGCTCGTTAGAATACCTGTGTAGTAGTAGCACGAGGTATATGAGTAGCACTGTATTCAGACGCTGTCTCACCTCCTCTTTTCTTCCAAGCAAAAGTCACATTGCTGCCGTGCTCTTCTTCTCGGGACACGAATCAGCATCCCAACAATCACGACTTGACGGAGCATCACGAGGCATCGGAAATCGAACAGATTGTCCTGCTTCTTGTTGCGAAAGTACAGGGAGTTGGCCAAGGTATAGAACAAAACAAACCAAAAATCGACACAAGCCGATCCCATTATCCCAATAGGATCAGCAGTTCTGCAAAAACAATGCGGCGGATATCGTCGCAAGCTATCTGAGCTTGTCCATCAAGTAATCTTTTTCACCTTTTTTTTATATATGGCCGGCCGACAAACGGCTTCATCTCGTAAGATGGCCCTATATGTCTAAAGTATGTGCAAAATTCTATGGCCCTCGCTCTATATTGACAACGCTAGTTCTCCCAGATCATCTCCCCCTTCCTCGTCATAATGCGAATCCATAAGCTCAAGAGTGGGTGGGCTTAAAGGTCCATCGGTTGTTCTCAGTGCCCTCGGCGAAGGGAACACCAAGCTCAAACAAACGGAGGACGACGTTGGAGAAGTCGCGGAAGAAGAGCTCGTTGTCGGCAGCGTACTTCTCAACCCAGGGCTTAAAGGCCTTGTCCTGGATCAGGACCATGTCGGTGGGCAGCATCATGAGGCTCTTGGTGGTCTTGTCCTCGAACTGCTTGGGGCCGTCCCACTTCTTGACCTGCCACTTCTCCTCCAGCAGCAGCTTGTAGAAGTCGTTGGTCAGCATGGTGGGGGAGAAGGTCCAGGGGCCGTCGTAGCCGGATCGGTCGCGGTGGCATCGGCCGATGGCGTGGCCGCCGCTGAGGGCGACAATCTCCTGGTCGTTGAAGCCCATGCGGTAGAAGATGTCACGCAGGTGCCTGGCGCCCTTGCTGGCGTCGGGCAGGCGGCCGTCGGGGGTGCAGGCGGCAGCGTCGCCGTCGCGGCGGCCGGGTCGGTAGGGGATGATGGGGCCGTGCATCTCCTGGATGGCGCAGACGCCGCCGAGGATCCAGAGATCGGAGTAGCTGATCCAAGGGTACTTGGCTATCGGCTGGCTGTTAGCTGACGCCCAACATGAAGGTATGCGCAAAAAAGGAAGGGAAAAAAAAAAGACGGTGTGGCTTACCCTTGATAGGCTCGAGGAAGTCGCGAGCAGCAATCAGACCGGCGTTGGCGCCGTGAGCGCTCTCGGGAGCGAATCGCATGGTGGCGCCGTTGCTGCCACCGGTCCCAGTCTCCTTGTCGTAGGTGCCGCTGGCGTGCCAGGCGAGACGCACCAGGACGGGACCATAGCTGCCGTCATCATAGTCGTCGACCTCGAGACGCTCGGCAATGTCGTTGTACACCTTCTGGTAGTCGGCCTGGGTGGGAACAAACTCCTTGGTGGAGGCAGAGGCGCCAGAGGTGAAGTACCAGATGCCGAGACCACCGGCGGCGGCGGCGGCACCAAGATACAGGAGGGAGGAGGAGGACTTCTTCTCGGGCTCAGAGGAGTAGAAGCGGCGGCCCTGCTGGCGGAAAGCCTGTCGAGGGACGGCGGCGAAGGAGCGGGTGGTTGTGCGGGTGGCCACGCGGGCGAACTGGCGGGCAGAGGAGGCCATCTGGACGAGGTCAACGTTAGCAGTGGCCCGGCTGAACACACAAGTGGTGAGGGTTATCGGGGCCTGGAGGACAGCTTGGCCAAAGAGCCCAACAATGGGTATCAAAGTGGAATCGAGCCCGAAGCACCAGCTGTTCTCTCCACCGATGACGGAGAGGGGAAAGACGATGGAAGATATGAACTCACCTTGATGTGTGGGTTGAAGAAGGATATGACGAAGCAGGAAGGAAAGAAAGGGGACGGGGCGGGAAGAGATATATATAAGAAGAGGAAAGGATGGAAGAATGGAAGAGCAAAGAAAAGCGTCTCACGCCCGAAAGAAAAAGGATTTCGGATTTCTAAATAAGGCCCTCAGTCACAAACAGCGCGAGACTGAAACGATGCAAATTGCCATTGCCTGAGTGGCCAGCCGGGCGTCGTCGAGACCCGCAGTCTTGCGGAGCCGCTCCACGTCCTGCTCTTTCGTGATAGTAGTATCGGCCTTTTGGGCCATGATTATGTACTAGTAGTAGTAGTAGAGCTACTGTATGGGGGATATGCCAACGAGGGAATGTTGCTATAGTACCAGAGAGCGAAGGCGTTTGGCAGTCGTTGTACGCTTGTTGGCCACTCGAGCTGAGGCGAGTTTGTTTGTCACGCCACCATGAGAGCCTCAAAAAAAGGAAAAGAGTTTTGACAAGACATCTCCTCTTCTCCTCGGAAAGGCAGAAAAAAGAAAAGGTATCAGAAGAACGCATATTGCTGCGGAAAAGCTTTGAACAAACCTTGTCTGAAGAAAACACACCCATTCGAGGTATCCCCCCTCGGCCCGGCGCATTCACGCCCTCAACAACCAAAAAAGTTATTAGCCCAGAAAACGAACGACAAAAACGCCGCTGAAGTCCTGATAGAAGTTCCATTCTTTCTCTTCCCTCTCTGGCGGTATCTGCCGACGTGCGCTCGTTGCCGCAAGGACGCAGCCAATCAGAGCCGCCAATCCCATGCCGCACCTCGAAAAGATGCCGCCTCTGTCCATATCAGGCCATTGTCAAGTTCGGAGGGGAACTCCGATTCCGTTCTTCCCTCTAGTATTACTAAGGTAAGGTACTTTCGGCTCAAGAACAAACATCCATCAGAACAATTTTTAGCCTCGCTCGCGCTTGTGCCTGGACTGAGGACCCTGATAGAAGAAGAAGAGGCAAATTGTGAGCGATTGGCTGCGCGTGATTACGTAACTCGCAGAGGCCTTCTCTTTGCGGTATGCGTCGGCGAGCCACGTGGAGCACCTTTTTTTCGCCTTTCTGCACCAAACAGAGACCACAGGACTGGGCTCCGGTCCCTGGATTGTCCGCGTTGCATGTGATGCGACGTGCCTGTGCCTTGTCATCGGTGATCATCGCTACTTGCGCAGATCTATCGGGCTGTCAAGCTTTCCAGCCATGTACGTCCGTTTTTTTTTTTTTTTTTTTTTTCCACTCTTAGTCGGCTATACCAGGTTTTAAAGAGTCATAAGAGTTCACGTCAACCCGGGATTATATCGTCTCTTGCTACTTAATCTTCACGCCTCATTCACGGTCTTGGCTGCATGTGACGAACCAGTGCGAATCATTCGTATATCAGCAGCGTGCTCCCTCGCCTCAAAAGGCAGAGCAAAGAGCCAGCCATCCCGCGTTTCGTCGAGAGAAACTATAAACTCCAAACATTATAAAAAATCATCCGTACCACTCGCGGCCCGCATCCAAATAGGTCTGCTAGCAAAGTTGCCGCTCCGTATAGTGTCCAGCAAATGCGTATAGTACAACCCATCCGCCACTTGAACGATGTAAACATCCTAGTTTGACGCCCCCCAAAATGCCTAATGCCTAAAAACCCGGCGTCGTCTGACATCCTGCTGTCCTCCGCCGAAACCCCAAAAAATCGGCTTCCAATTCCCCTAGTTGAAGTCGGCTGCGCCTTGAGCGTCCGCAGCGGGCTCCTGGTGAGCCTCGTAGAAATTCAGGTATCTGGTTTGGGCTTTGCGCTTGCTGGCCTCATCGAGCTCGCCAACGGGGGACGCTCCGTTCTCCTTCGCGCCGCTTCCACTCTTAGACGCGGCCGTAACGGACACGGGCCTGTGAGTAAGGGTTAGCTGGATGGTTTCAGTCTCTCGGGAGATCGCATGGTTGACGGACCCAAACATCTGTCTGTCCACGGTCAGGAACTCCTTCATGGCGTCCTTGCCGCCGCGCTGGACGAGGAAGTTCATGTACAGTTGAGCCAGCTCCCGCTTGACAGGGGCGGGCAGCCGGCTTCGGCTACGGAACTCCTCAAAGACGTTCTTGACGAGCTCGGCCTGGCTTGGCTCCCCTTCCTTGTCCTTGCCGTCTTGCTCCAGTTCAAACTGGAACCACTTGTCCCAGAATATCCTGCTGTCAGCATACCATTGGACATTCTTAAGGAAGACTGCGCGAGCTTCCTCGGTAGAGTTCTTGCCCTTCCATAGCAGCATGGCCCACTCGGCCACAAGCGCGGCCTTTGTGAACAGATCGACGGTGGGCGCTTCGATATGATCCTTGAGAACCTGGATGGCAGCCTCGACGCCGTTCTGGCGGCGCTGCAGGTTGGCCCAAGAGACAATGACCTCCACGCAGTCGGGAAGCTTGGTAAGGATTGCAGCGTGGATATCCAGAGCCACATCGACGCGCCCGCAGCTCTCCTCGAAGTAGGCCCACTGCATGCGAATGCCCGGGCGGCTGATGGGGACATAAAGCGTGGAGGCCCGGATGTAAATGTTGCGGACTTCCTCCTCCTTTCCAGGTTGCTCTGCCATCCATCGGGCATACCGGAACCAGAACTCGTCATAGAAGGCGCAGGTAACAAGGCACCGCTCGTACAGAGACACGATTCGGCTAAAGTCACCCTCAGCCTCTTCAAAATCCAGATACTTTCGCCAGTTGGCGAGCTGGCTGGCCTCAAGCTCCGTCACGTGGAAGTACGGTCGCTTGTTCTCGGCTTCGTACGTCCAGCGCTTCGCCACCTCAGCTTGGGTCTGGGTGAACACTTCGTAGTACATGGCGTCAATCTTGGCCCGGACATCCCGTTCAATCTCCAGCTCGGGTCGCGGACCGCCGCCGTAGGCTGCCGCCTCCGCCGCAACCTCGGCCTGGAACTTGGCGAGGGTATCTTCCGGCACAAGCTCTGCCAGGGGCTGGGTGTGGGACAGGTTTCGGAACCTTTCATAGTAACGAGCATACTGGTGCAGGGGGATGCGGATGATGCGCGCATGGATGGCAAAGATGCGGTCCTGGGCCTCCTGTCGCTCTTCGTACTCGATGTACTTATCCCAAAAGGGGTGAGCAAGGAAATCCAGCCCAACAAAGGTGGCTCCGCGTTCGAAGAGCCTGCGTATGCGTGTCAGCAAGTCAACTCTCGGGGGGGTAGGGTTAAGTGAGCATGGGAACAGAGAGGGTCAGTACACAGAGGGGTGATGGCCATTTGTGAGTGCAGATATCGGGTTTCTCCGACCCCAGAGGGGACAACGGTAGGAGCACGACGCAAGGTTATGGGGCGAAGAGAGCACATCAACAAAGTCTGGGAATAAGTGTGAGAGAGTGATCCCGGTAGGAAGAGGGGGGCGCCGTGGCATATCTCACCATTCGACACGGTCGATAGTGAGCTGCAGAGCTCTTGGTAGGTGGGCAACCGAAATCATGGTGCGTGAACGCGATGCTGCATTGGCAGAAGCCGTTATGGGGGAAGGAAAAAGTGCCCTGAATACTTACTCTCTGACCAGCGTGGGGTCATGCGTCGTCTCCATCTTGAAGGAGCAGTAGTCAGTCCAGAGGTCGACCGAATTGGTTATGCTGGCGCATCCTCGCTCATAAACCTGGGATCCGCGCCGTTAGCAGTGTATCGCAACAACGTTGGCGTGAGAGAGCGCATGGGAACAAGGCAGCGCACCATTTCAGCCGACTCTGGGCCCGCGATATTGAATTCGAGATCGGCATATTTCTTCCAGTACCCAAAAAAGAGCGGGAACTTGAGCAGGAGTCGGTCGTAGGCGTCGCGGACGGTGGAGAGCGCCTGAGGGCTCGAGTTCCTGTTGAGACCACCGTCGAGAGCTTCGCATGCTTTGATCAGGTTCTCCCAGCTCTCGAAGTTGTCGGGATTGGCCTCCTGTACGGGGGACGCACTGTTAGCAGGCAGATGCTACGGGCCAACACGAGGCAGTTGGGTGGCAGCGAGCGATTGTCGGAGCAGGCTGACGTACCGTTTCCGCTTGGTATTTGCGAACCGACGCGTACTCCTCCTCGGAGCCGCCGAAACTGTTGAAATCGCTCATGGAAGGATGCTGGTCGGACGCGACTGAGGATAGGGCGGTATAGATACAGGCGTCAAGAGGGTGGTGGGATGAGAGGCGGAGCTTTGAAGTGAAGCGCAAGATGGAAGAATGATGATGGAAAACCGGAGGACGAGGTTTCGAGAGCGAGGTACGAAGTGAGGTAGGTGCTGGAGTTGGCTGGAGAGCTCGGCTGCTGATTGGCCCAAAAAGCACAGATCAGCAGGTACCTGTCGTCCAAGTAACGAGGCTCGTATCCGGCGGGGCCTGCAGCGTGAATGCTGGAGCGGAGGGACCTTGTGCGCAGGTACTGAATTTACCTCTTGAAGAAGCTTGAAGTTTGGCGCTTCCAAGGTTTGCAGCACTCGGAGCTTTTAGCGCGTTTATGATGAGTAAGCCGCAGAATGTTAGAATTTAATCCACGGCTGGCTTTGCAAAATTCTCTTTTCTCTTCTCCAAACATGACCAGTGATGATTCCAAAATTAAACATATGATAGGAAGAGAATGAACGCTCTCCAAATATGGCGAGCATGATCTCAAACAGAATCTGAGGTCCAACAATTCTCCCGACAGTTGTCTTCAATGTCGCTTCGTTCCGATTGTCTCCTGCAGCGAGGCTGTTGAAGTGACGCCGCGAGTCCGGCGGTATTGACTCATTTCGATTCAGGAATCGGGCTCTTCTAGAGGGGTTCAAGGGCACTATTGCAGATGAAAATGGAGGATGGCATTGCAGTTCTGGCCCGTCCATTTGAGCTCATCTTCGAATGGCAGTGTCAGTGCTTTTGTGAAGCCGCAGGGTGGCTCCGTACATGGCTTGCCATACCCATGATTTCACGGGCAGTACGGAGTACCCGTGCCGTCGATGAAATGGCGTCTCGAGGGCTTCTACTTCGAGAAGCTACGTAATGGCCTTGATAGCATGCTGTTCTCTGCCATTGTCTCTGGGTCCAGAAGCAGTCAGCCACTGGTCAGTATCCCTTGTTGGCATATATCGTGTCTATATGAAGCAGAAAGCCCTAGTCTATGAAATCCATTCGATTCGGATATCCCTTGATATGAACCAATGTATTGGCCCTTGAACAACACTCTGTAGGGCCTGTAGAATCTTGATGTGGAGGTCAATGGACGTGAATTCTGTTGAGAGAATCATGGCCTTCATGAAGCTCTGCTGCGTTTTGGAAGCATTGGGGTGGTCTAGGGTGGGCAAAGCCTTAGAGAAGCATCGTGAAACTTAGTCCGTACAGCTCTCTTTAGACGGAGTACCCGGGGTGTCGAATATGTATGTCTACAGCTTGCAGACTATGAAATCTGTCGTACTTCAGAATATATCTACACTGCCCTTTTTTCTCTCCCTTTTTAAAAGGAAGAAGATGGCGATCGAATCGAGACCCGAGACTGAAAGTGCATACATAGTACCTACTGACACACTACAGTACTGGCCTCCGCACCGTTGACTTGGGCTGCCTTGATAACGGCTCCGCCAAACGGTAAGCTCTCTAGCCGATGTTGCCAATGACATAACGCGCCACACCGACAGCCACCTCGCAACAACGACAGTCGCTGGCCTCGAGAGACACAAACTGCCTGTCGCGAAGGCTGCAAAGAAAGGAGCGCATCAACCGCAGCAGAAAGCGCTGCAGCGAGGCCCGCGATCGCTCCACTCAATTGCAAGGAGACCATGGATCAACAGGGACCCTAAGTCCGCTCTGCTCTGCCTCCAGCTCTGTCTCCAGATCTGTGCCCCTGCCAGCTCCAAACCCGACTCTGCGCTTGATGCACCGAGTCTATCGCCGCCATACTCATGGACACGCCGCCGGGCTCGTGGAGCGCGCAAGCGCCGGCGCCTGAGAAGTCGAGCGAGCTCTTCATCCGCGACTATCCGCACCGCTCCATCGCCATCGTGTCGTCGTCTCACGCCCTGATTCTGCGCTACAGCTCGTCTGCCAGCGAGGCCTTTGGCAGCGGATCGCCCGTCTCGCTACCGTCCAGCAAGCCGCGCGGAAGCGAGTCTGCAACTGCCAAGTGCATGGTGGAGTTTTCCGCCATATCCAAGAAGCTGCTCAAGGACTACCGCCCGCTGACACCGAGGCCTGTGTACGGCACCCTGGGCCTGATTGCCATCAATGGAGAGGTCTTTCTGTCCGTCATCACCCAGGCCGTCAGGGCCGCAACGGTTCGGCCTGGCGAGACGGTCGAGCGGATCGCGAGCGTGGACTTCTACTGCCTGAGCAGCGCCGACTATGACGATGTCGTGCCGCTGGAGTCGACGGATGCGGATTCATCGGATGTGTTTGGATACAACTCATCCTCGCCTTACGGCCAAGGGCTGAGTCGCCGGGAGGTGGCCGTTGAGCACCCGTGTCATGACTTGCGCAGGCTGCTCAGCAATGGATCCTTCTACTACAGCACGGATTTCGACCTCACCAACAGGGTACAAGACCGGTATGGCCTACTCCGAGCCGCATGTGAGATGGACCGCATGTTTTGACCTGTACTGACTCTCGTATTCAAGGCCTATCAACTCCAACTCATTCGAGATTGACAATTTTGACGATACCTACCTATGGAACTCCTTCATGATCAGTCCGTTGGTGCAGTTCCGCTCCCGGCTGATGGCTTCGGAACGCGAGGCGCTGGATGCCTCACGCATTCTCACATCTGCTATCAGGGGCTTCTGTAAGACAATGACCATCCCGCAGAGCGCATCGCCCTTGAAGGCAGCCAGGAGTGGCATGCCGTCCTTTCTGACACTAGTTTCACGACTCTCGTGCCGGCGGGCAGGCACTCGCTTCAACGCCAGAGGCATGGACGACAATGGAAATGTCGCAAATTTCGTCGAAACAGAGACAACGTTCTGGTCCCCCGCCGGTGTTCTCTTTTCTTATGCACAGGTTCGAGGCTCGGTGCCAGTCTTTTGGGAGCAGGTTGCGGATCTCATACCCGGCCGTCAGAAAATCACAATCACCCGACCCCTGGATGCGACGCAGCCGACATTCAACAAGCATTTCGAGGATCTCGAGCAGGCTTATGGCGCCGTCCATGTAGTGAACCTTTTGAGCGACACTAAGCCGGGGGAAGTTGAACTCGCCAGCATGTATCGGGAGTGTATAAGACGCTGCCCGCTGAGCCGGCCTGCTCAGCATCAATCAGAGGACCATGCCCTGCTGCGTGAGACACATTACGACTTTCACGCAGAGACAAAAGGCCCGGCAGGGTACGAGGCTGCCCGCGGCATCCGTAGACACATAGAGAACTCCGCCGATGGCTTCGCCTACTTCTTGGCCGAGAACCACCACGATTCTAACGAGAAGACTGATGAACGCATGGTGGTTGTGCTTCAGCAAGAGGGTGTCTTCCGCACCAATTGCTTGGATTGTCTGGATCGCACAAACTTGATCCAGACTCTCATTTCTCAAATGGCGGTCGAGGCGTTCCTGGGCCACCGGGGGGAGTTTGCAGCTTCCGACTTCTGGATGAGGCACTCCAGTCTGTGGGCCGACAATGGCGATGCGCTCTCAAAGACGTATGCCGGAACCGGGGCTTTGAAGACCTCCTTCACCAGACACGGGAAGATGTCCTTGGCCGGTGCCATGGCAGACGTGCGAAAGTCCGTTCAGCGCATCTACCACAACAATTTTGTCGACCCGTCTCGGCAAATCACCATCGACATGCTGCTTGGCCTGCTGGTTGGGCAGAGCCCCGTGCACTTGTTCGATCCCATCAGCGACTTTGTGGCGCTGGAGCTGGCCAGGCGAAGCGAAGAATTCACTTCGTACAAGAATATCAGTATATGGGTTGGCACATTCAACCTAAACGGACGCACCGAAGGCATCGATCACGACCTGTCACCATGGCTGTTTCCGCCGTCACTCGGCTCGGCGCAGCCGGAGATATATGTTGTGGCGTTTCAGGAGATAGTTGAGCTGAGCCCGCAGCAAATCATGAACAGCGATCCGACGAGGAAGAGCCTCTGGGAGGCGGCGGTGAAACGAGCCTTGAACCAGCGGCAGGCCAGCCTTGGGGGGAAGAAGTACGTGCTGCTACGGAGCGGGCAACTCGTGGGAGCGGCGTTGTGCATCTTCGTGAAGTCGTCGTCTCTTGATCATATCAAGAACGTTGAAGGGAGTGTCAAGAAAACAGGCTTGTCCGGGATGGCCGGAAACAAGGGAGCGGTTGCTATCCGGTTCGACTATGCAAACACTCCCCTATGCTTTGTGACGGCGCATCTGGCGGCAGGGTTTTCCAACTACGATGAGCGAAATCGCGATTACGCTACGATTCACGGTGGGCTGCGATTTCAGAGGAATCGGGGCATCGAGGATCATGGTACGTGCCCTTTCCTCTAAGCAAAGGGGGAAGAGAGAAGAGGGGACATGCGGACATGCTGGCTAACTCACGATGCACCAGATGCCATCATCTGGCTCGGCGACTTCAATTACCGCATCGGGCTCAGCTCCGAGGCTGTCCGCGCCCTGTTGAAGAAACGGGACCTGCAGACCTTGTACGACAACGACCAGTTGAATCTGCAAATGGTAGCCGGGCTGGCGTTTCAATTCTACTCCGAGGCCCGTATCAATTTCATGCCTACTTACAGATTCGACATTGGAACCGACGTCTACGATACTTCGTAAGCCCCCCCCCCCCTTTCCCTTTCACCCTTTTCAGCGAGATGACTTGCTGTTGGCTCCGGCTGTACTAACACACCCCTCAGTGAAAAGGCGAGAATTCCGGCCTGGACAGATCGAGTGCTGAGAAAGGGGGCTATTCTCCGCCAAACATCGTACGACTCGGCGCCGCTGCTGTTTTCGGACCACAGACCTGTGTACGCGACATTTGAATGCCGGGTGAGCCTCATTGACGAAGCTCGGCGAGACGCCATCAGCCACGAACTATATGAGCGGCGCAAGGCTGAAGTTGGAGACTTGGCTGCGCAAGGGGAGGGCGACGACAGCGAAGATGAAGACCTGATTGGGTACGACGCAATCGAGCCAGGCCTTCCACCAGCGAGCTCAGACCGCCAAAAGTGGTGGCTTAACAATCAACAGCCAGCTCGGGTTCATATTCCAATTCCCACTGGGCGAGACGGGCAGCCGATGGCGTTGAACCCGAACCGCCCTTCCAACCCCTTTGGGCAAAGCGAAGAACCGGACTGGATATCCATCTCGCGGTCGTCCCCAGGGGCGTCGCTCTCGAGCATGTCCAGCTCTCCGTATGAGAAGGTGATGCCTCCGAGGGGCATGATATCAGCTGCGGCCGGTGGACCCAGGAAATTGCCTCCACAATATGACCCGACGACTCTCCCTGCGCAGGTCGGACGGATGAAGATTGGAGACGGCGACGGCACGCGGAATGTTTATGGAGACAGATCTGGCGTGGCCCCCCCTCCCCCGCCTCCCCGTCGTTCAGCGACCACTGACTCGGGCTCGGGCGCAGGGCCGGGCGGCAAGTCGGCGAGCTCGAGCTCCTCGGCGACGATGGGAGGAGCAGACAAGGCTGGGACACAACCACTGTGGATGCAGTCTCGACCCGCTTCGATGGCTTCTCAGACATCGCAGCTGTCTCAGCAGCTGAAAGCTGGAAAACCCGCACCCCCTGTGGCAAAGAAACCAGCCCACCTGCTTTCCACATCCCCAGCCTCGGCGCCGATGGCGTCCTCAATGTCAGCCGGGGGTGGACGCTATCGAGATGATCATGGAGGCGATGACTTGCACCCACCGCTGCCGGCTCGCGCTTCCACGATGGCGGCAGCGCCGGAAGATGCGCAGTGGCAGACGCGGTCCGCGGGCGTGGCCGCGAGGAAGCCCGTCGCGCCTCCTAAGCCCCAGCTGAATGTGAATATGAGCACGAGCACAAGCACGAACACGAGCATACATGCCGCGGCTAGAGGGCCTCCTGTCCTGCCACAGCGATTGAGACAGGCAAATCACGGCCCCGTTGACTTGTTGGATGGAGGCGAGGAAGAGATGGGAGGCTGGGAGACGTTGCAGCCAAGTACAGCAGCATAGGGGAAAGGGAAGAGAAGGGAAAAGACGGCCGCAGCCATGTGGCGAAAGTGAAATGGTTTTGGATTCTCCGATGGTTTGACTGCTACTGATATACATGAATGCGACTCTATAGCGCCTCTTACTGCCTTGCTAGAAGTTTACCGTTGACTGTGACAGTGAGCGTGATGATGAAGGGACCTATGAGGAAGAGCATCACATAGCTCGTATCGCAATGTACGAGTAGGCCAGGCATGGAAGCAGACTCGCTTGTCCCCTGGGACGCACTGAGAAAGCAGCAGCAATTCTTTGCAAGCGTGCTCACCAAAAGGGAAGAAAGCAAAAGCCTGGCCTTGGCAGAAAAGAAGCCAATATGCAAGACATGACGGGTTAGGGGAACGGGAGGCTGTGCGTCTTGTGCTCTGCCTACTAGTACACGACAGACGACGCGTACCCGGGACTCGTTCCATGGACTTTGACCAATGCACGGAATATCACATAGTAGATATATTCTCTCTCTCAAGATAATTTCCCCTTGTTGCGTGTTACACTGCACGCAGCCACCCGGCTTCTGTCGTACCAAAACGAGTTGCCCCTTGTTCGCTTTGCTGTTGATTGGCTTTCGGGAGTTATCTTTTGGGTTATCGTACTACTATACGGGATGAAAACAAGTAACAAACAACATGACTTGCTTTTTTTCTTTTTCCTCCTTCTTCCCCTCTGCTCTGGGGATGCGGATTCCAAGACGCTAGGGATGCGGTGATGCAATTGAAAACGACTCATATAGCCGAGGACGAGGGCGATTGAACCTTTGTGTGAGTATTTTTTTTTTCTAGCGCCAGGCGCGGCGAGTACTGGGATATGTGAACTGCTTCTTACTGGCAATCACTTCCATCTTCATGTGATGCGAGAGAGCATTTTACATGAGTCGATGACCAAAGAAAGGTAATCCGTAATGCATATGAATATGTGGCTGGGTGCTGTGAAGACGTTCGTATAACTGGATCAAATTGATGAGGGTACTCGGGAGAGAAGGGACTCGTTCTTTTTTTCTCTCTTTCCTCCGAGCAACTTGTTTGCTTGTTTGCCATGTCTTTCATTTCCCGGGCCGCGAAGTTACACCACTTTTCTGTCTCTACTATTTCCCGTTTGCATCACCGGGGAACAATCAAGTACAAAGAGGGGAGAGAAAGAAAGACTCGAGTGAAAGTTGCGCGTATCGTACAAAGTGAGATAACTGGCTGGGTGGCCATGATGAGGGTGGAAGTCGAAGCGGAGGTTTGGCGCGTGACACCGTCGAGGGTCGACGGATGCTGGAATAAGTAGTGAGCAGTAGCGAGACATTTTGGGTCTGTTGTCTATCTTTCTTGATCTTACCAGCAATTTAGCAGTAGTAATAATACTGATTTTCCTTCTTCTTCCGACGAACCTTTGAGCTGTGTTATAACGTAGGCGCAGCAGAGGGGGGAGGGGGGGGTGCAAAGAATTGAAAGATGCCGATATTATTATTATTATATCTGTTCCGCTCGTTTTCAGCCCTGTCTCTGTGCCGTGTCCATGTCTATTTGTAGAAACCAAAGGGTCAACGAACGGACGGACGGACGGGCCATCGCAGCTGATCAAATCCCAATCCCAATTTTAATTTAGATGGTATATTATTAGTAGAATTCAAGATAGGGCCCATCACGGCATGTGTCGATATCAAAAGAAGCGAGTCCCGGGGCGAGTGGAAGACGTGAGATTCCCTGCTGCTCCCCGTTTTGTCAAATTTGCCAGGATGACATTGGTACTGTACATGGCAGTATGGGGGGGAACGTCCAACTCCTTTTGGTGTTTCTCTCACGGGACAAAAAAACATTTGGTGTTTTAGGACCAGTTCTGCGATTTGAGTCCTTGTTCCTTTTCTTTTTCGTCCCGGTGTCAAAAGCCACCGGACCGGGTTGGCTGGAGGAGGGCACGCGAGTAAGTCGGGCCTGGTGCTAATGGGCAGTTGGACCATTGAGGGTGGAGGAATGTGTCGCAACTGGATCAATCGGCTTCGAGTGGTGGCGATGATAGCACGTCGATACTAGTAGATAGTAGATAGAATGGCCTCGGAGTGCTCCGTGAGACTTTCATTTTCCGATCCAAGGCCCGTTGAACGGTGGTATCGGTACACGACTTCACTCAGTGACGGATCTACACTAACAGTAGCCCCGATGCAACGCAGTGTCAGCCGCCCAACCCCCGGCACTTGGACAAGAGACAGATGAGAGACTGAGTGAGAGAGAAGGAAAAGTCCAGCATCGCGAATCCCTTTGTGGCTCGTCCAGTCCTGTGCCTGCAACCCCCACACGCGGACGGATACGCGCACATGAATGCAAGTACCGGTACGCGCGCCTGTGACTGGCTCACATGGCCTCCCCCTCCCCATCTGATGTGCCGCCACCGCGATCAGCGCACTAGAAACCAGCCCACTAGCGAACCCACCGGGCCTCTTCCAGTGGCCTCCTGCACTGATTGACTGAACCCTCCCCCAGACCTCCAGCGACCGCTAGCGAGGCCGTCCACCGAAACCGCCCCTGCGCGACTCCACTTTCCGGCCGGCCTTTTCCCTGTCCAAAGCCTCCTCCATTTGATCTCTCGCTCCCTCATCCTGTCACTCCTCCTCCAAGCCGCCTTGCTTCCCCTGCTCGTATTTCTTTTCTTTGCCCTTTTCCTGCAGATCAGGGCCAACCAACAACGACAGAGCAGCACAAACGACCGTTTCATTTCCTTTCCGTGCTCCCTCATCTGCGTCGTCCGCTCTTCCTCTGCTTCCTTCTTGCCGACAGCCCTCATCCCACGATAGTAGTCCTGCTATAAACGCCTCTCACCTGCGCTTCCTCTAACCCTCACCCGCGGTGGAGCCCAGAAAGGAATCGCGGGATCCATCGCCTCTTACACCAGCGCGCCGGGCTTCGAACCGCTTGACCTCAGTGGCGCCGCGAGATCTTGTCTGCATTTTCGGAGTATATAATCGGCGTTTTCTCTGCATTTTACGGCGTTCCTTGAACGCTTCGGTTCTTCCTCTTTGCGGCGTCCACCCGCTGAAGCGAGATCAAACCAGAACAAGGACAAGAGTCCAAACAGCACTCTGCCGCCCATCGCACAACTTGCAATAGGCAGTGGACGAAGAGAAGAGATACCGCACAAGACAAGGAAAAGGGCGTCGAGGAACAGCCTAGACTCGGAGTGTCCCGAAAACTCGCCGCCGGCTCTATTGCCTACCATATAATCTTTATTACTCTTCCCCCTTCGCCTCAGGTTTCTTATTTTACTTTGCTGCACCCTGTCGAACGTCACCCGGGGCCCGGAGAAGCATCGAGAGATTGCCTGGTGGGGGAGTCGTTCGGATCCTCTGCGGCTTACAAGGGTTGCATGAACAGCTGCCTTAAGGGGAAGCGATAACAGCTCTGTTTTTTTATTACGCGCCGCTGCTGTTAATCTGGGCCTTTGCCGAGCTTGGGGCGATCCTAAAGCTTGTGAATCGCCGACTCGAACAGCTTGCAGATCTACACGAACGAGAGTTGACGGCGCCTACAAAGGACAACTCCAATTGACGCCGGCTCGCCATCACTGCTCATATACCAATCAAGCCGATTCACCGGCGTCTGAGAGTGCGCGCTCCCGTGGCTGGCTGGCAATCGATCACATCCTCGAGTCCGGAAGAAAAAGAGCTCACCTTTTCTTCTTGCAACCGCCAATCCCATTGGCGATAGCCACTGGCACAGAAACTAGCAGCAACAACAACATCAAGCCAACTGCTACCCGAGCCATTGACCGAAGCCAACCGCGACAATGGCCGACCTGCCACCCCCTCCCGCCTTGCCACCCCTCATCTCTGCCTCCAAGCACAACCGCATCGTCATCTGGCGCGATGAGGTCGTGTCGGCATCCGCCTCGTATACCGCCGCCAGCAACTACTCGGCGCCGTCCCTCGTCACCACAACCACCGCGTCCTCGACGTCGCTGTCGCCCGAGGAGCTGGCCACCATGTCGCGCGGCTCACGGCTGTGGTACAAGGTCAAGACGCAGTTGGCGCCCAAGGCACGCCGCCGCAGCAGCGTGACGGTCAACACTGCCGAGCTGCCAGACTTCTTGATGCCTCCGCGGAAGGGCGACGTGACGCGGACGGCCATGTACCAGAGCCTGCGGCCGGGAGAGCCCAGGCCCGACAGTGGCGACGACGAGGTCGTGCCTGGCCAGGACAGCAGCAACGGCCGCGGACGGCGTCTGTGGGAGAAGCAGAAGAGGCTGCTCAGGGCATCGAGGCTATTGAGCCAACATGCTTAGCCGACTTCGAACGCAGACCGAAGACAAAAAAAATACAAGAAATAGAAAAAAAAAGAGCGAAATCAACCAAAGATACACGGCAGCCTCATTGACGACGACAACGACTCGAGACGACTCACCACCACCTACCTCTATACCGACCTACTCGCGAAATAATTGGGATGGGCCCATAATATAACGTTGGCATGTCTTAATACCTAGGTGATCAATCACATGGGGGAAAGCGATCTTTTTTTTAAACACCTATTCCACACAAGCCTCAGTACAGATTCTCTTAATTAAACCTTAATCCCTCCCTCTCTCTCTCTCCCGCCCTCGCTTCATCTTTTTCCTTTTCTTTGTGCGTCTTCATTCGCGGGTTCCGGTGTTGTTCTTTGTTGTTCCTTGGCGTTCGTTTGTGCTTTCTGTCGGCCTGCGCGGGAGATCTGTGCGTTTTATAGACCGGTTCAGTTGTTTGTTTGTCTGTTACTTCTTTTTTCTTTTCCAGAGATTCCCACAATACAGTTTAAAGCAAAATAAAAGAAGTTAAAAATTATTCACAATTTGCTGTGTTAGATTGTCCATGTGTGATAACGATGGTGCTTTGCGGTGTTGAAACTGCTCGAGAATTTCTGCTCTTCTATTTCTTTTCACAAGAACAGCTTCTGCAATGCTGTGAAATAGTAATCCCCCCTGCGAAAGTCATTGAAAAGGTCCTCGGCTATATGTCCCCTTTCAATCACAGAGCTCTGAGTAACCTTATTGCCGAGATGGTTTTCCCTTTCCTTCCTCTTCGTGTGTTTGTGCTCGGGACTGTCATACAGAATACAGTTGAGTCAAGGCGGAGTTTGAAGAAAAAGAAAGGTGGGAAGTTCCCGAATTGACAGGACCCAGCGGCGCACATCCAGAACTCGATGGGTAAAAGTCGTAAATTTCAAAAAAGAAGCACAAACAATAGAAGCAAGTTGCTGCATCTAATAAAGCCATGCCGAGGTCCAAACTTCAAGCTACTAGTTCTAAGAAGGGGAGCTCTCAAGCCACAAGGTAGAACAGAGTCAAGATGCCAGATAAGCAACACACCCACGTTCACGAAGCTGAACAAAGTTCAAGTCTACGAGAATTACAAGATTCATCATCAGCCCGCGTTGGATTGGAATTTATTTTTTTGCCCTTTCTTCAAGGGGATATTGCTGCTGTATAAACCTTTGGACGTTCCTTTTGGAGTTGATTTCCTCCCTCTCTGCGGGGCACACCAACGAGATTGTAAAAACCACTTGCGGTGAAGAGGGGTCGAGGAGGAGGGGGAAAGAGACCGAAAGACAACACGTGAAAAAAGCAAGCAACATATTGCGAGACAAACAGGGACATCAAATGGGGGGAACAACATTTCCATAACGATCCACCAAAACCGGGACCAGATGTAAACTAGGTGATAGGCGATAGCGTCAAAAACACACATAACAGGGGAACAGATACCGGGCACTTTGGGTAGAGGGGGGCGGCGGAGACGAAAGAGGGCAACAGAAGCGTCCATCATTCAGCAGCGAACACCAAGACAGGTTCCGTCACCGGATCAACAGGCAGTCATAACGGACAATCACCCTGCGCCAACCGTCTCTCCTAATCCCTAACCGAAAACAAATCCGAAGTTCCATGACCACTCTCCCCTCAAACCAGTGAAGCAACGCGCATGCGTACCGGTGCTGCGTCTGCTAGGCCAGCCTCCAACATGATTCCAACTATCGCCATGTTGAGAGGGGGACGAGAGCATCCAGATATAAAAAAACGAGAAAAAACGACGACCCTCGGTTCTTTGTGCCGAGTTTTGAGCGCGACGGAGGTAAGAAGGATTTAGGAAGCAGCCTCGGGAGCGGGCTCCTCAGCCTTGGGTTCTTCCTCGGCAGGCTTGGCAGCTTCACCCTCGTCCTTCTTGGCCTCGCCGGCCGCCTCGGCCTCACCGCTGTCGGATGAGGTCCACAGGGTCAGGTTGTCACGCAGGAGCTGCATGATGAGAGTGCTGTCGCGGTAGGACTCCTCAGAGAGAGAGTCGAGCTCGGCGATGGCATCATCGAAGGCCTGCTTGGCAAGGTGGCAAGCACGGTCGGGGGAGTTGAGGATCTCGTAGTAGAACACGGAGAAGTTGAGGGCGAGACCCAGGCGGATGGGGTGAGTGGGAGTCAGCTCGGTCTGGGCAACGTCGGTAGCGTTCTGCAAAGAACATATCGTCAGTAATTGCCGTCGGTTTGTTCTACAGCTGGCCCGTCTCTTCACGACGCCGGGCGCCGGCAAAACGCATAGAGTCGGTTCATACCTTGTAGGCCTCGTGAGCGGCAGTGGCAGCAACCTTGCGCTTCTCGCCAGAGGCGAACTCGGCAAGGTAGCGGTGGTAATCACCCTTCCTGAAAGAGCGATTTGCATTAGCTTCTGAAAATTTCGAACATGTGCGAGCTGCAACGTGATTGGGTGAAAATTTTCCTGAAATCCAAGCATCCGAGAGCAGCGAGCAAAAGAGAACGGGAGCGTCAAAACATACATCTTGTGGTAGAAGACCTTGGACTCGCCGGTGGCGGCGTTGGGGATGAGGCTGGTGTCCAGGACGTTGAGGACATCCTCGCAGACCTTCTCGAGCTCGAGCTCGATCTTGCTGCGGTACTCCTTGATGGTGGCAACGTGCTTGTCAGAGCCCTTGGACTCCTCCTTCTGCTCGATGGAGGAGATGATGCGCCACGAGGCACGGCGGGTGCCGACAACGTTCTTGTAGGCGACGCTGAGGAGGTTGCGCTCGTCGACGCTGAGCTCACCGCCGAGCTGGGCCACCTCCTTCATGTAGGTGACCATCTCATCGTAGCGCTCGGCCTGCTCGCAGAGGCGGGCCAGGAAGGTCTTGCTGTCATCGGAAAGTCCGGTCAGCCGGCTGCGGTCGTGGAAAAGGGGGGCGGAGAGGAGGTGTTTGGATTCTCGTCATGAGAGGTTAGTGGGGTCACGGGGTCGGCTGCTGGCACAAACCTTTCACGCTAGATAGGAGGTTAGCAGTTGCATTTCAGCGAAGAAAGAGACAGAGAGAGAGAGAGCTGGAAAAATGAGGCAGGAGAGCGAGCGAGAAGATGGGTTTGGGTGTGGTTGTTCTGGCCTCGGTCGCGCGTATCCCCAGAGCCCGCGCAGCTTCGTGGCGAGGAGGCGGGCTGAGGGGTTGCCAGAGCGAGGGGGGGCGCTTTTGGGAGGGAGAATGGCAAGGCAAGGCAGCGGAAAGCGGCGGTCGGAGCAGCGACGGCAAGCTGTTGCAGAGAGCTTCACGTACCTCGGTGGCCATTTCGACGGCGTCGGTGATGCTGTTGTGAAGACGGAGAGGGCGAAGAGGCGGCGGGAGTGTGCGGCGATGGCGGGTGGCAGAGGCAGAGGATGGATGCGGGTGTCTGAAGTGGGATGCGGTTGAGGATGGGGCGAGAAGAGTGTTTATATTTTGATTGTGGATTGAGATTTGAATTGGTTTTGGGGGTTTGGGGGGCTCTCGGGGCGGAGCTTGGGACTGCTGAGCCCACTGCCAGGTGATGAGCGCGCCGGCTTGCAGTGGAGTTTGAGGCCTAGCCAGCTAGCCAGCCGCCTGGCACCCCGCCCCTAGGCCGCTAAGCCAAGTCCTCTAGCAGCCAGTGCAGTTTGCCTCCCGCTGCTGATTCCTGGCCGTCGGTACCTGTGCAGTACCTGGCCGCGCTGCGTCGAGCTGCCCTCCCCAGCAGGTAGACGCGATGTGCCTGAAGGAGGCGGCTCTGTGCACGGGCGCTGTTGTCGTTGCTATCAGAGCACAGGCAGAAGTGAGCGCGCAGTGAGTCGAGATTCCTTCCCCCCTCTCTCCATGCTCTCTTCACGTTAAGGTATCCTCAGCCTGTGCTCACTCTGCAGGGCCTGCAACGGTTACTCTTAGGTACAGAGGTACAGACAAGGAGAGAACTCTCTTGAGTGTTTCTACAAGGCGCAGAGCCTCGATATCTGTGCAGATATATGGCTCTTTTCGTCCCTGATGGGTTGAGGTTGTCGTAGTGTCTTGGGTAGTAAGGGGACCGATGGGATTGAGCCCGACCACAACCGTGAACGTCTCCAGTACAACAAAGACCCCTTATTACCCTATGGCTTTCAAGTTGTTTCCTTGTTCCTGCTCCTCCTCCTTCACTCCCAAGCTTCCGGCATCTTCCACACTCATCTATGTACCGCCCTGATATTACTGCCCTACCTCTGCTGGGCACGGTCGTACTGCGATGTAGCATGCCATCAAGATCCGGCACCAACGCTGCGGTTGAAATGCTACGTTGGCCAAGCCATAGAACACTTGGACGTCAACAGAAGATCGCACCCGGCTCTCCGTACCTACTCTCGAGGTCACCTCTCTCCGAGCTCCCAGCCCTATTTCAAGTCCTTTCCTTCTGCTTCCCTGCTGCGTGCTGCCCAAAGACATAGAGGAGGGCGGGGCTTTTTTTTCCTTTTTGGGGCGGTAGGGGAAAAGGGTTACCGAGTGATCAGAGTCCCGCTTTGCCATGAGACAATCATCAAAAGGGCAAATCCTCCCATCACCTTTGTTGACGATGCTGGAGCTGATTTGCTGCCACCGCCCGCCCTGTTCGCCTGGAGCTGGGCGCTAAACAAGCTGTCTCTTGACAGCATCGTCTTCCTTCCAAGGCCGTTGTCTGCTCTCCCTTGTGCTTTGCGAAACCGCCTCTTCTGGTGCCGTCGTCCAACCAGCGGCTCCCCCCTCCTTGGGTCTGCCGGCAAGGCGTCATAAACGTGGCCAGGGGCTGCAAATTGGCTTATTAGAGGTCACCCAGCTTTGACTGTCGGTCAGTCGTCGTTCCATTCTGGACCCCACCCCCGATAGCAGAACGCCGCGAGAAGAAAGGACGAGGAGAAAAAAATTCCGGCTTGTCGTACTGCGATGTAGTATGTAGTACTACATACTTCGTCCAGCCCTTTCACGCGGAGTACGCCGTGCCAGGCTTTGGTCTCGATCCAGATGGGCATTGCATGTTCCCTTTTCCTTTCTGCCAGGAATGGAGCGCAAGTCGACAGAACCCGGCCGATTGGGGAGCCCCTAGCAGGCTCAGTGGTCCGTCCCAGCAGATCCCGTTGCTAATTCCCTTTAGCTGGGCGAGCAACACGGCGACTACGAGCTAGTGCCTCCCCTCTGCTCCGTTTCTCCAGAGGCGCACGGAGGCTTCTGCCCTTTGCCGTGCGGCTGTAGTTGTAGTAGTCGTACTCCTAACGGACACGATGGCTTCTGCAGCTTCGGGGAAAGGTGTCTGGTGTCGACGACGACGAGCAGCCCATCGCCCATCACGCGAGTGCTGAATGACTTCGGCACACCCCGGCCGAGGCATGTGCTCCCTTCTCTCGTCGTTCCCCGCTGGCCACGTCGGTCCAACGCTTGTCTCTGATGCCGTTCTGCCTCCACCTGGAACGCGGGGAGCGCTGCCGGCCTCAGGTATCAAGGCAAGGACCGCCTCGTGGTGATGCTTTGCTTGGATGCCGCTCCGCATATTCTCACGATACTGCAACCTCATACCTAGCAAACTTCCCTGCTTGTATATATTACTGCGATGCTTGCTGTTCGCAGGGACGATGCGGCTCCAAGCACGCTGTCTGCCGTAGTCGTCGTCTAGCGGCCCCTTTCTACACCAGCCGATCCGTCCCAAAGCACGGGAATGCATGCATGGCCTACTTCGTATCTCGCTTGTCTCCGTCCTGCCCGTTCCCTTTGGACAGATTCCCAAGCGTCATTCTTCAAGCTTCTCTTTCGCACCAGAAGTGTTCTGCTGTTCACATGATGCCATGGCCTGCCCTCCCTCCCCCGACCTCTAGCACCCCTGGACAAGTTGCTCTCCTCGCCTCGCTCGTTCATGCCAGCGGCACTGTTTGCCATGGGACATGGGGAGAGAGAGAAAAGAAGACTTGGGACTGGGCAAATAACGCGTGCTGTGGCTGTGGTCAGCTCTCCCCCGTCTGCCGTCCGTGACTCACTCGCTTTCCCCCTCCCCTTCCCCCCCCCTTTCCCCCTCCTTCTCTTATCGCCCATCGCGTGGCACAGCGGCAAAGCATGTGGCATGCTGATGTGGTTGTTCTCTTGCAGGCCAATAGCATCATCCCGCCCATGGGCTGGCCTCTTCAGCTGTTTTGGGAACGATCGAAGCAAGCCAGTCAGCATCTTCCTCACATCAAGAGAGAGACATAACCCAGCAGCACATCGCCCAGGTCTTTTAAGGCCGCCACGAAAATGGCCCCCTTCCCCTCCGGCACACACACACACGCGCGCGCACACAAAGGCTTTATATTAACCCCCACCATCTCGGATTCGCCCAGAAGCTGCACCTTTGCGACGCCGTCCTTGGCGCTTACGATCCGATCGAAGCTGTAGTTATACTGCGGATGACGTTGCGGGCTAAAAAGGCTCGTTCTGTCAAGTAGTACCCTACCCGGTAATATATAGTAGTACCTGGAGAAGCCATTGGGTGCTGCTCACTTTGGCCTGTAACTTGCTTTGTCCATCAGGCACCCATGGCGGTCATCATGATGTCTCTGATACCGCGTCACATGGCGACGTAGCGAGGCTCTGCACCTCCCGCTCCCTCAATCGCGATGAAGTCGGGAGTGAATTCTCTGTGAGGCGATACAGACATGCACACCGTCGCCATGTGCCGATACCGGCCCCCCTTCATGAATAAAACGAACAATGCTGCTGGTGCCAGCAGATCAGGTGTTCTGAAAATATCAACGATGCGATAGTGGTATTCAAGGTATCCTGCAACTAGCTATTCAAAGAAATGCTCGACTAAGTAAGGTAGGTGTTGTTTCACCATATTTGTGCTCGCGGCTTGATTCCATATACTGCCCAGTACATACCTTTACTGGCATCTCGCAATGGACATCCGTATCCGCCCCCCTTCTTGATGACACCTCGCTCCCTAGGTACGTATTAGCTCGCTATTCATCATCAACCACTCGTGAATCATTCCAAAAACTATAGCTCTTCCTCGCGAGGCTCATAGGAATACGGAGGCCGACCCCAGTTTGAAGGATCGCCACCGGGAACGCACAGCCCAAGCCTCCAGAAATAGTCCCGATGAGCAAAGAACAGCTGCCATAGCTTAAACCGCGCTGGAAAGCTCATCCTCTGGGTATACTCTTCCATGGATGAAGTCGTCCACCGGAAATGGAGCAGGCGATATAGCAGGCCCTCCACGGAGCTGTCGTCCCTGGCACTGCAATTAGGGTCCTCGTCGCCGATGCATAGCTGGACATCTGTCTCGGACGGCGACAAGGCGGACTTTGAGATGAAGATTTCGCCTCCGTGAGACTTGTAGCCAAGCTCTCCCGGCGGAAGCAAGGGCACGGGGTCGTCGACGTGGGTGACTCGGCGGTAGACTCGCTTTTCTAGGTCGATGATGCCGTCGAGATCAAATACGTCGTCGACGAAGCGGGCGAACTGCGCATTGCCGGCGCGAGGCTCCCCGAACGTGGTCACGGTCACGTCGTCCCAGCCGAGCGAGACTTTCAGCTCGAGCGCCGCGAGGCAAGCCACGGCACCTCCAAGGCTGTGGCCGACGAGGTGAATGGGGTACGATGGGTATTGGGCGCGGAGCGCCTTGAGCTCAGGGAGAACTGCTTTCCGAGCGCTCTGCCATGACTGGAGGAAGCCCATGTGGACGGTGCAGTTTGTGCATTCATGGCTTGGTTTCTCCGGCGACTCCCCTCCGTGGTCTGGGGACGGATATGGCACGTATTTCTGCGCAAGGGTGCTGAGATCAACAATGGTATTGGTGATGCTGTAAGTCCCGCGAAACGCAACCATGATGGCGCCTTGCTTGTCGTCTCCATCATCAGTTTGGCGCTGGTCCGGGCCCTGGTCCACGGCGATGAATCCACAGTTATCGCCAAAGAGAAAGCCCGTGCTCCAGGTGTTGACCAACGTCATGTTGGGAAATTCATCGCATCGGGAGATGCATTCGAATGGTTTGCGAATCCCAGAGTTGCCGAGGCAATATGAAACGTCGACGAGCCTCGCCAGCCGCTCGAGGGATGCGAACAACGAGACCGAGATACTCGAGACAGCCGGCGCCTCGATTTTGATGCCCAACGGTTCCTGGTGGCCGATGTATGCCGCCTTGACGAAGAGAGCGGCGGCGAGCTGGACGAGCAGCAGTAGCCTGAAGCGGCCCAGCATTGCCCGCCCCATTTGATCGGATTCCGTTGGCGGTGATCAGAGCATGGAGCAGTGAAGCGTCACGACTGGTGAGATTCGCAGGATGTTGCTGGCAAGGAGAACGGAAGCGCCTTGGTCTCAGCTGAGCAGAGCCAGTCACCAATCGCGATGCTGCTCGTCGGCTCCGGCCTGGCGCAAGGGAGATTGGACGTCGCAGTGGCAACTGAGCGCAATTCGTGACACCGCTCCGGCGCGAAGGTGAGTTGCAGAACAGCGCGCGCTTCGCACCTTTTATTGCATGATGGCCAATGATTCCGCTGTCCTCCAGGAGAGGTGAATGAGCCCTGAGGAAAGCAGAAAGAAAATCCAGCGAGTCCTTGAGAGGTTGTTGTTACTAATATGATGCGACTTGGTCTCTTGGAAAGCTGGTGGCAAGACCAAATGGTTGAGATCACGAGGTGGACATGCACAATTGGGTGGGGCCGAGCCAGGGCCAGGGGCCTTAAAATCTGGGGTTTGGCGCTGAAGCTGGAAGCTCTGGGCGGGCGTTAGCAGGGAAGAGTGCTGGATGCGCGCCAGTAGTGGCCGAGATTAGCGGTAGAAGAAGGGCGATGGCGTGTGATCTGTGCAATTGGTAACTTGAAGCCCGTTTCGAGTTAACATCATGGAAGGGATGGAAGATGTCGAGCACCTAGAAGAAAAGAAAATCATAAGTCTCGCCATACAAGAGCTCCCCGGCACGGATCTTGCAAACTGGCGCCCCGTTTTCGTTGTCCGCCGCTTTGTCGCTAGAAGCACACTATTGAATGCCCTCGGCAACACTGACTCGAGTTCTGGCACTTTCACAGCTAACATGAACAAAGACCAGTCTGGGCTGCCTGTCAATATCTAACTTTTTCATAGGAAGAATACCACTGCTGTAGCGGACAGGAATCGAGACATGTATGCCAATAAAACGACACTCCAGAGGTGACTCCGTTCGTTATATTGTCTCTACCTGGGACCAGTACACCGGGTTCCCTTGTATCCGTCTATAATCCGTTTCCCAATAACCACCTTATCCTAAGTTTTACATCTTTATTCGGAAATTTGACATGACCGTTCGCAGATATTCCGTTTCAATGCCCTCTAGCTCACCCAGCGCTTGATTCGAGTGGGATCGGTCACAGGGTCCAGCGCGGAGAAATTCCCCTGGACATCGGTCGAAGACGTCTTACACGAGCCCAGAGTCGTTGAGCAATTCAAGGCAAGGTCCACTGCGCCGGCTACCTCGTACCCTTTGACACTGTAACGAGGACTGGTGTTAGTACAGACTTCTCACCCGATATACGGATTAAACCCTGCGTTTGGCGTTGTGATGTGACATAACATACCCATTGGGACCAGGGCAGATCCTCTCGATCAAGGTCAACGTCCTCTGCGTGGCTCCGCTCAAGATAAACTTGACATCGCTGTCCTCGCACGCGTACCTCGGCGTCAAGCCCTTGGGCGTGGTGGAAACAGAGCTCGAGTTGAAGGAGCACTTGACGGCAACGCCCGTGTCCGGGTCAGAGTAGGCAAAGCTATACGCGGTGAGAGCCGGCGTTGGACCGGTTCCGTTTGTCTTGGCTGCAAAGTCTTTGAGGTGGAAGCCTGCTGGCAGATTGCATCCGGCTTCTTTCTGAGCTGCGGCCAGGCGTTCCGGCGGCGCAGAGTAGGAGAGGTCGGCCAGGTTGGCTAGGGAGAATGGCAGAGCGGCCAGGAAAGAGACGACTTGGAAACGCATTGTGAGGAACGGTTGATGGTACTCTATCTCGGTTTAACTTGACAGATACGACGAGTATGAGTTCGAAGAGAGCTGGGATCAAACGAATAGTTGGCTCGAGTTGAGGAGGCAATGAGGTTGAGAAAATCTACAGCGGTGGAAATCTGCAACGTCCATGCTTGCTTTTATACGGTACGAGGCTTCCGAGCCATGACGTGGGATCAAGCAAACAGCTCCGTTCAGCCCCTTGATTTACGTGGGCCGGAAAGGCATGTATGGCAAGTAAGGGCACAGGAACGTCGGACAAAAAATGGGACGAGAGGACAAGAAAAGGCAGAGTTGAGTGTCGATCCAAGTGCCGTGGCGGCACTCGCAAGCTGCAAGGGGTTGGACAGGATGTGCCGACTTGCCCTTTGAGGCGCAGCTTTGCGATTCATGCTGCTTTTGACGCAGGGAGGTGCATTGAATGTATGGCTCAAAGCTACTACCATGTTCGGGCCATTGTTACTGTTACTGTGTGGCCTTGATTGCCGCCGACTTTGAGCTGATTCGAAGGCTTTTGCTGGTTAATAGGAGAAGTGGCTTTGTTTGGCGTTCTTTCACAGTTTTCTCTCCAAGAGAACTGCGGAAGGACAGTTGGCACCGTAGCGAGCGACATGGGAAGGAAAATGTGCACCAACCCTGCAATTGACGAGGGAAGAAAGAAGCGGTTGGCCAGCATGGCTCTGTAGCACCTGGAGCAGTTGCACTCTGTACGAAGCTGAAGAAATCTCGCATGCTCTGTACGAGGCTGCATGGCTCAATGACGTGGATTTAGGCTTCCAAGGTTGTCATTTAAGGCTGTCTGCTGAGAGCGCCTCCTTTTTATACAAGTTAGGAGCTTTATTTTAGGTGAGAGCTCTCAATCTGATTCGTAACTTATGCGGCACGGGGCGGAGTCGTAATCTGCACTCCGAGTTCGATTGTCCAGCCGCTCAATGCGACCGTTTTGAAATATTGTTTATCTCGGCCTTGAATTCCGGAGCTGCAAATTTAATATCCGAGGAAGAAAACAGAAGGATAGATGCAGAAACTGCTTTATCAGATGTTGCTCCAAAAGGGCAAGTCGATTCGGAGAGCAGCAGACTTCATTACTGGCACTGAAGCTCGCCAGCAAGCGAGCTCAAGACGAAAGTTTTGCAGGGCTGGCAGCCACGATACGCACAGATGTAAGTGCTTCTAGCAAAATTTGACTGAGTATAATTACATGAGATGTCAGACAGATAGCAACAGAAGAAGTGAAAAACTCCAAAATGATATAGAATATATCTGAATATCAAGTACCTTATGGAATGATATCGTCTTTCGTAGACTCTCAGCAATGCATCATCGAAATAGATACTTGTACTCCCAGCCCGCCAATCAATTGCCCCATTAGGTCAAGCACCAGGCGTGCAAAACAAAGGCCCAGCGGGTGAGGTAATTATCCGCCTCCGAGCCGACTTATGTAATGCCCAAGCGGCCACTCTGCAGCAAAACCTTAGCAACCAGGCATCGGCGTCGGAACTGGCACCCTCAATCATTCTCAACAGCCAGCTACATATTCAGCCCCCCAGCAGATCACAGCCCATCCACACCGTCGTCTCTCGCGCATCTGCCTGACTCCGGTAGCTTCTCACCACTCCCAACGACGCCCTCGTCTTTCGCCGTCTCACACAGATTATCGCTTCGATAACCCGCCATCGCCACAATGTCTACCGAACTTTGGTATGTTGCGTCAGCGCGTTGAGCATCCTCCATCCCCCCTACCATCGCCATGGAGCTTCGGATTGCATCGTTTGGGGTTCCCGGCATCATCGCTACCTGCCGCCTCTGCATCCACTTGCTCCAATGTGCCGTCTGCAGAATATAGAGCTGACTTGATTGCCGTATAGCCCCGTCTACGCGGTCAGTAACCACCACCCGTTCCTATTCGTACCAACGACGTCACCGAGAAATACCCGCGGCGACATCGAGCCAAACCATCGCCATCCAAGACTTGGCTCTCCGATATGATAGACAGACTCGCTAACACGCTACACAGCCCTTCTTTGGTGCCATGGGCTGCACCTGCGCCATTGTCTTCACCTGCCTGGGTGCCTCCTACGGCACTGCCAAATCTGGTGTTGGTATTGCCGCCATGGGTGTCCTCCGCCCTGACCTTATCGTCAAAAGTGCGTCGCCCTGTTTTCCGTCACACGCGCGCTGGTTGTCGCTAACCTGCTATTCAGACATTGTTCCCGTCATTATGGCTGGTATTATTGGTATCTACGGTCTCGTCGTCTCCGTCCTCATCTCCGACGGTCTCAAGCAGGATCTCCCTCTGTACACCGGTTTCATTCAGTTCGGTGCTGGTCTCTCTGTCGGCCTTGCTGGTCTCGCTGCTGGTTTTGCCATTGGTATCGTCGGTGACGCCGGTGTCCGCGGAACTGCTCAACAGCCTCGTCTCTTTGTCGGAATGATCCTGATCCTCATTTTTGCCGAAGTCCTGGGTAAGCAATCGCTCATCTGCTGTTTTCTCTACGGCAATAATGGACTTTGCTAACGTGTCACCCAGGTCTCTACGGTCTCATTGTCGCCCTTCTGATGAACTCAAAGGCCAGCCAGGATGCTGTCTGCGCGTAGAACGAGTCAATCCATTTCCGGCCAAAAAACAAGACACATTTGCCTTTGCCAACGTCGTTACCCTTGGTGTGAAAAAAACTGGTTTCTGGTCGATAAGATGATAACTCGGAGTCGGATGACGGTGTGAGAAGGAGCAAGCTTTCTTGGGGAATGGCGAATCATGACGTCGGTTCGCGACTTTCTGTCGCGTTAATGGATGAGTAGGAGGAGTCTTATAAACAGTATATGTACACTAGTGACAGGACGCGGTTGCTTGATGTGAGTTTCTCTTCATAGACGGTGAAGGCGAGGGATCTAGTGTAAGCAGGTGCTCAATTCTATCTGTCCTTTTTTTTTTTCTTATCCAGAGTCGCTCCTTATGTTTCACGATCCATCGTCATGTCTGCCGACTTCGTGATACACCACGCCGTTCATTAATTAGAGCTACTACAAAAGCCGTTTCGTCATCCTACTTCAACACGTGTTACAAACATTAATAGTGATAGATGATTTCCAAGTTTCCCGATCCCAGTTCTGACCGTCCTATCGTTGCCCCCATTTCCTTTTCGCATTATTTTGTCGCATGCTTGCTGAAAATTAGAAACCCATTGCTCATCGTCAGGAGAAGAGAGATGACTCGTTTAAATAATATATGTACGGGAGAAGCGGACTTCGGTACATCGAGCAAATGCTCTTTAGATGACGTACTACAGCTGTTGCGTTAGGAAAAAGCCTCAAGGAATCAACGTGATGAGGCGGGAAAACTTACGGGAATGAAGAGGTAGGGAACGCGTCGTTCATACTCGAGCCAGGCCTCGCCGTACTTGGCGCGGCAGCGGGTAATGTCACGGTGTGCGCGGTGAGCAATCATGCATGCGAAGAAGACGGGGTAGAACCAGGGGAAGGGAGAGCTGTAGGGAAGAAGAAGGAAATTGTCAGCCAAACTGTCTCTGAGTAAAGCTTCCATATGGAACGGTCACTTACTTGAAGCCGGTGATGAGACCCCAGGACAGGGAAAACCACAGATCCGAAGTATAGTGGATCTTGCGAGCAAGACCATACCAGCCGTCGACGAGGATGGTGCCCTGAGGGGTCTCGATGGTCTTGGGGTTCTTGAGCGTCTGCCACGGAACCTGGGGGAAGGTCTTGCGCTGGATGAGGTTCCCCTTCTCCATGGCGCGGAAGCGGTTCTTCTGGCTGTTGCAGCTGTCCCAGACCCAGTACCAGAAGAGATAGGCGACGTACATGGCCACCAGGGCGTAGCGGTTCCAGCGGTAGGTGGCGGGGTCGTGGTTGGCCAGGTAGAGGGTGCAGTGGCAGTAGGACAGAGGGACGCCGGCGAGGTTCCAGAAGATGAGCATGAAGCCCCATTTCTCGTAGTACATGTCCCTGTCTCGAGTTAGTACGACACACCAAGGGAGTGTAAAGGCAATGCCTGTCGCGCTTACCAGGTGGTGATGATGAGCTCCTCGCCCTTGGCGCAGGCGTTGGCGTAGAGGTAGTGCGCCATGACGAGGAACATGACCTCGCCGGAAACGAAGCCATACTGCTCCCACTGACGCGCAGCCGCGCCGAGACTCAGAATCAGCAGAATGTACCAGGGCATGCGAACCTCGAAGAACATCTTAAAGTCAAGGATGCCGAACATGCGAGGGTTCAGCTCGGCGCCCATGAAGAAGTCGTAGATGGGGTAGCCCGTCATGCGGTGCTGCTTACCCCTCCACAGAGCGGAGAAGTAAGCGACGAAGCTGACGATGAAGCCGCTGCAAATGGCCACGGACAGCAGAGGACCAAACTCATCAAGGGCCGTGTAGATGGGCCAGATGCCGGAGAAGTGCAGGCCGGCGAGGACGGCCAAGGTAGTGTACAGGCTGACGTAGGCGTTGCAGAAGTAGTCGAGCTGCTTGCCGCCCTCATGGGGAAGAGGCTTGCCCTTGCCCCAGACGCCGGGGAGCAGACAGTAGCACGCGCCCTCGAAGACGAGGTAGCTCCAGTACCACACCCAAGCCTTTGCGTGAGGGAAGCCATGGGTGTAGACGAGGTTCGCAAGATGAAGTCCAAAGTCCGCCCAGCTCTGGCCGGGTGTTCGAGATGGAAATTTGCCGTCGTAGAACGTGGCGCCGATCCACATGTACCACATGAGGATGGGAAAGAAGATCATCATGAAGGCGGTGCCGACCGAGCCGCCGAACTCGAATTCGCCCGAGTAGTCAATCTTGGGGTCCTGGCCCGGCAGCCAGCCGTCCACCACATGGACATCGCCCGATGTCCCGTTTGCTTTCCCGTTTGTGTGGGCGGCGTCCTTTCCGTTCGGCGCGGCGCCGTTGGTGTAGCCGTTGTTGTGGCCATTGGCGTGGCCATTGGCATGTCCGTTGGCGTGACCGTTGGCGTGGCCGTTGGTGTTGCCATTGGCGGTGGGCGTGGCATCCTCTTCCTCGTCCAGGTTCTCGATGAACTTGGCGGTTCGTCGGCGGGTGATGCGCTCGCGAGGAGCCGGCTCGGCCGAGTCTTGGGCGTCCAAAGATTCGGGGGCCTGTGAGGACTGGCGAGCGCGTGAAGATTGCCTCTTTGGTGTCTCGACCAAGCCGTCGAAGAGCTCCTTCTTCCTTTGTGGGGGGTTAGCACAATTCCTTGGATGACAGGAGCGACATGGCAGCTCTTGAGGTCTTCCAGGCAACTGGTACGGATGAGTTCCCAACAATTTTGCGGCGTGACCCAATCGCTTGCCTCGCGGTCGCAGGCGCGAACAGCTGTTGTTTCTTGACTTACCTCGGCGTCTGCCGCAGAGAATATCGGGTCGCCATGGTGACGAGCAGCCCTTGTGTCTGAGGACTTTTGTCAAAAGAATTGCGCGAGGTCGAACCTGAGCTTCGCTTGTTGCCTTGGGTGCTCGCGTCCCGCTGGTGCCGGTGCTTCTGCTTTGAGCCACGGAAACGAGCGACGCTTCCGGTCTGAGGAGGAGGAGGAGGCGGAGGAGGAGGAGGAAGAGGAGGAATGGAAGAAGCAGGAAGCAGGAAGCAGAAAATTGCCCTCCCGGCGCGAACCGCGTGGAAGAAGCCAGAGACGGGACACTTTCTGGAATCGTGATGTAACGCTATTGGCCCGCCGAGCGACCGGGATGGTCGAGCTGGGATTCAGGGGTAGGCGGGCCGAGGAAGTACCTCTTCAGGCATAACCAGCGCGCGGAGGTACTTTCGTGTCGTGCCGCTTAATTTAGCCCCGGTATGGAAATACGCGGGATTCTGGCATTAGCAGCTTTAGGATTTAAGGCTCCTCGAGTTTAAGTGGCCGGCAACGAGGCATCGGAGGGCGATTTTATGGATCTCCAACTCGGCCCATTGAGCGGCTCTTGTTGCCAGATCTCCGGCCGTATTCGTATCACTGGCGGGTCGTACTCTTGATCGTAATACGAGAGCCTCAGGCGGATTGACGGGCTCGTACACGGTGCGTCAGGAAGGGGGGATGAGTGAGACGCGATGACCAATGCTGGATATTTTACGCGTATTCTGGTATTTGTTTACCTCGGTTTAAATGAAGTCCTGCGTTCTGGATTGTTTATTACATATAGAGGTAAGGAGATACGTCAGTGAGGTATGTATGTAGGTAAGGTAGCGTTCGCGATACTAACCCAGTAGTACTGCTTATTTAAAGCGGCGAGTCTCGCCGACCCGATCGATGCAGGTTACATGTAGATTACCCCGGAGCACCAAGTATCAGATCAGGTTCAGCTGCTATCTTGGGCGGTTATTGGTCCTTGTCGGATCTGTCAAACAGCTCTTTATGCCATGCACAGCAGATGCCGCATGCTGCAGCCGATCGCGTGGCCCAATGGTGACAACCGAAGTTGGCATCCAATGGGGGAGCATGTGTTTATAACTACCTCAGCTGCCTTGCCTTTGCGAGCCTTGTTCTCTATCTGTGTGCGCTGAATGTTTCTCTCTTGTCTTCAAGACATGGGCACCGTCACAGCCATTGTCTACCCATACTTCCTTTGGCGACAGTCTGGCTTTGCCTTGGCGTACAATTACCGTGGTTTTCCAGTTTGATACGTACGGCGTCAGTCAATCAAGATCCCTTCGCTTGGCTCTTCTCCCAGCTACCGACGATACTGAAGACATCCTGCTCTCCTCTGACTCTTCTTATATGGTAAACATGGGGAGAAAACTTGGGAACGCTACTTCGTAATACTTCGAGTGTATGAAGAGGCAAAATGTAGGGCTACGTTGTACGATGGGATTGGATGGGTGAGTACCTGATTGTCAACACTGAGATTATCTGAAGAAAGTTGAAGAACAATACATGAGGTCTGTGGTGACACAGTGATAGCTTCTAGAGCTTCCATTGATTCATTGCACATCATTACGCTGCAAAGATATTACCTATTCAGGAATACGAGTAATATCAGATCGGCGACTCCTGGCCATAGTCGCAATTGCGTCTCCCCTTTCTTGCTGCGGCGGCTTACCAGTTCACTGACAATGAAGACAATCCTGTCACAAGCAAGCAACTTCGCATCTACGAGACAAAAATGCCACCCCATCTACTTGACTTGCATTGAAACATCAAGTACGGGGTAGACCTGCTAGAGTGGCATTCCCAGGTGGCCTTGCAAGGTGCACTTGAAGCCATGTGGCGCAACGCAGCGCCCCTGGAGGTGCTAACGACTCCGCTAATGTGCCCCTACAGCGGTCTCCGTACGCTACGTCCGTTAATCGATAACGCCCGTGGCCCCCTGCCGCTAGACTTGTGCCACAGGAGGTGGTCATTCGGTCATTATCGTCACCACCACGAAAGTTAGAACTCGCCTCAACCATTGTCTTCCCCACGTGAAGCAACGACTGTTGCTCGGGGATTGTTGACTGCTTCTTCGTTTACGAGCCTCAATTTCGGCACTCGTCGCATCACATGCCTAGCGATATCAGCCTGCTCGCCTGTCATTGTTGATGAAAAGCAGACAGGACCCTTGACCGGTCCCTCCCTTTTCCGCCTCGGCCACTGCGGCGAGCTTCTACGTCGCGTGCAGAACATCTTCCCACGCTCGACCGCAGTCGTTCCACCGTCTGTCCAGTTGCGTGACACAACTGCGATTCGAATTCGGATAGAGTTGCCTTCTTTGAAACATTTCTGCTCGGTGACTTTGCGTTCGACTACGAGTCTCGAGATAGCAGAGCCAGACAGAAGCACACTCGCCACGTACTCGGCCGCAACATCCTTCCACATACCGTCTCCGTTACCACATCCCCTCACCTCGCACAGCACCGAGCTACTGGCACGTCACTATGGCTCCCGATCGCCTGGACGAGTCCGTCTCGCCAATGACCAGAACCCCCAATGCTCCATCTCCCGCAAACGCAGAATCACAGTCCCGGTTCCAGCCGCCAAAATCGAACGATGGTCTGTTGGCTGCGACACCCAACTCATCAGAGCAACAGCTGGGCGGCAGAGCATCGCCTAAGACGGCCGGCGACTATTGGAATAATGGACAGAGACACCCTGATGCGTCGCCATTGGGCTCTGGGGAGCTGAAACCCGAAGCTGAAGAGCTACCGCCCCAAGAACAGCGAGACATACCAGCCGGGCTTGTTTCCAGCACCCAGGAGACCTTGCAACCGGAGGGGGGCCGTAGTATTCAGTTTGCTCAGCCCGACTACCATGAGCTTCCCCTCCAGCCTCCGGAGTCCATGCCCGTGGAAGAGCCCGATACGCCCACCCGGTCCCGAACGAGGTTCATGTCCAAGATCAAGGCTTTCGCAGCCAACGGCCCCCAGACGCCAAAGTCCCTTAATGGACCTACGTTCTCCTCTGAGTTCGGCTCCTTGTCGATTCCCAACTCTCCCACAGTCTCCAGAGTCACGACTCGAGCTCCCGAAGCTCTCAACGGAGAGCAGTCTGACGCCGACGCCGATGTCGAGACCGCAGATGAGGCTGCTATACCCGCTGCTGGCAAGAAGCATAAGCGAAAGAGCAGACGCTTCAAAAAGCACTCTGTGTCCAACTTTCCGAATCCCAGCCGGTTTCCAAGCGACCTGGATGCAATCAGCACGTATGATCGCCTGCTCAGGCGCCGAGCAAGCATGCCTGATACCACTCAGCACGACCATGCCGTGTCTGACGGCGAAATTCGCGATAACCCTCGGCGAAAGACGTTCCGCAGAGGCTATTCCTTTATGAGTAATGCAATGAGCCCTCCGGGTGAGGACGATATGGATGACATGGAAAACTCTGCCGTCGTTGGCCGACGCAATGGCCATCTGCGCCGCATCACCGTCTTTGGCGGCGGTGGCCTGTCTGATGGAGATGCGCTTACCCCTAAGAGGCACTTCTTCAATTCGGAACGAGCTTCTAGCTACGGCGCCCAGAAGTGGAAGCAAGTGAAAAGCACACTGAAGCTGCTCCGACAGAAGAAGGACGATCGTTTCGATTACTACAAGTCTGCGGAGCTGATGGCTGAGCTGAGAGCTGGCGCTCCCGCTGTCCTGATGCTTGCCAGTATGATACAGCGGGACGAACATGGTAACAAAAGGATACCGGTTCTGCTGGAACAGCTCAAGCTGAGGATCAAGGACAGCAAGCCCATGCCGGACGATGACAAAGAACGTCACTGGATCTTCACAATCGAGCTGGAGTACGGCAGCGGCCCAAGCCGGATGAACTGGTGTGTGATCAGAACCATCAGAGACATCTATAACCTGCACTTTCGGTACAAGTTTGCTCTGAATAACGACAAATACATGCTCGGGAAAGATCTCGGCGGTCGTCCCAAACAGCCCAAGTTCCCTTATTCGGCGTTCCCCTACCTTCGTGGTGCTCGCAACAAGGGGGATGAGAGCGAGGAAGACGACCAGGCCAGCGGTCGTGGCGAGGAGACCGGTGCCGAGATGACGGCTGCAGAAGACGCTGGCGAAGGGCCTCATCATCACTCGAGAAAGAAGTCTCGAGGCAACTTCCTCGGTATGCGGCGAAGATCGACCGGCTTCACTGACGGAGGCGAACTGTCTGTTGCTGAGGGAAACCAGGGCCTCGATACGCAGACTCGCCGGCAGCGCTATGTCGAGAAGCAGAGGCGCATTCTGGAAAAGTATCTCTCGGAGATGATTCGATGGTTGATGTTCAGGGCCGATAGCAATCGTCTCTGCAGATTCCTCGAACTGTCAGCCTTGGGTGTTCGTCTCGCTGCCGAAGGAAGCTACCACGGGAAAGAAGGCTACCTCCACCTCCAAATGTCCAAGGGCCTTGATTTCCGTCACGTTCTGACGCCTGCCAAAGTCATCTCTCGACAAAGTCGCAAGTGGTTCCTCGTCAGGCAGAGCTACATTGTGTGCGTGGAGTCGCCGGAGAACATGAACATCTACGATGTCTATCTTGTCGACACCAAGTTTAGCATTGTTTCTAAGAAAAAGGCGCTGAAACGGTTCGGCTCCAAGAACAAAGAGAAGAACACCGAAGACGACTTGAATATGGAGCCATCTCCCGAGAAACACCACACTCTGAAAATGCGCACATCAGATCGGAAAATCCGGCTCTTCTCTCGCTACCAGTCGGTGATGCGACAGTTTGAAGACTCCATCAACGAAATGCTGAAGCAGACCGTCTGGTATGAGAAGAAGCGGTTCAACAGCTTTGCGCCGGTTCGGACCGGTGTCTTCGCACAATGGCTGGTCGACGGCCGTGACTACATGTGGAATGTGTCGAGAGCCATCAACATGGCTCGGGACGTCATTTATATCCACGACTGGTGGCTGAGTCCCGAGCTCTATATGCGCCGACCTGCCTGCATCAGTCAGAAATGGCGACTGGATCGATT